ATATACCATACATGGTTGCTGTCTTGAAATATAAGCAATACAGGCAAACCTCGTTATTTGAACTCGATGGGACCGAGAAAAAACGAGAGATATTTGAGGGTTCGAGATATGGAGGGTAAAATACTTAAGAAATACGAGGGGTGATCAAAAAGTTCGCGAACAATCTCTATATTTACAAAACCACAATTTAGATCAGAATGAAATTTGGCACACATATAGTCATACACATGTTCTATAAATAACAGATGTTAAATAATGTTTTGCTCCATGTTTGTGATGTCACAGTGTGAAAATGACGTCAATATGTAGGTCACTTGTGACAAAAAATGGTTGGCTCAGTCGTACTCGAGCAACGAACAGCTGTAAAGTTGAACATATATCTTGGAAATTCCTTTGCAGTAGAATATGATAATTTGTACAAGGTTTATGAAGACAATAGACTTACCAGAATTCAATCATTAATTGGATTGATTGTTTAATTGAAGACGGGGAGATGGTTAAATATAATGTTTGTTCTGTTGGCCAGCGAAAGCAAGCCGGAGAAAAGATGTGTCCTTAATTGAGCAATATGTTATGAAACATTGTCAAGTTACAATTAGAAAAATGGTTGAATATCTTAACAATAATATAATTATTAAATCCCTAAAATTGTTTACTTTAGACTTTAAACATATGAGATATGATAAAAAGAAGGTGCCCATACTTTATCCACATTGGATAAACGACGCTCCCGAGACAGAGGACTCGGGTTGTGATGGGTCACTATACTAATTGTGGGGATATCCTTATCCACCCATCATCTTGCCAAGATTTGGCCATTTCTGACAGACGGACTGTTCTTGTTATAAAAAATAACTTGCATGGTAAGAAATATAAGACTCGGAAAAATCTTAAAGCTTCTCTGAACAGACTTCTACGGAGCATGTCACATGACTGCCTGGATCACGTGATTCGCGCATGGGCAAACCAATGGCAGATGTGCATTAAAATCGGAGAGGACTACTTTAAATTATAATAAACACTGAAACCTCATTTCATTTTTTTTAAGGAAGTAATTCAATTTGTTCGCGAACTTTTTGATCACCCCTCGTACGTGGTAAGGACTTCCCAGTTACTTTGACATATCCATAGTATTCGAGATATCTGTGTTCAAGATACTGAAGTTCAACTGTATTTGGGTAAGGGTAGGAAAATATGATGGAGGGCTAGGCTTGCCGAACCCTTTAACATGTTTTCAACCCTTGCCTAAATATCACTTGTATTTCAAGACAGTTGTCATGTATTTTGTTTATCCTTCCAATAGTTTTACACTGACTTCCAAAATGAAATTTTAAGAATTTAGGCACATTTCTGCAGTTGAAACTGTGATGCCAAGGCATAAACTATGTAATATATATGACATCACAATGCTTTTAAAGACATCAGACTACATGAGGCTAGTTACATTTTGGCATTGACCTAATATAGCTTTGGCTTATTAGGTTACCTTTGTTTGGTCAATGCAAGCAGAGGTTGCGAGATAAAGTATTTTTTTTTCAATTACATAAGATTGGGGTTATTAATTGATCTCTCTAGATCTGTTACTCACTGACAGTAAAAATAAAAGCACCGTACCATGGTTACTGCAGTGTCATATATTTGTCCCTCAGAAGCTTCTAGAACAGTTAATGCCTCTATACATGAATTCATTAATAAACATTTTTTAGTAGAAATTAAAACAAAAAATCACTACTTTTCAGTGTTTAGCTTTTATATACATTGTATTTCATGATGGCAGTTGAAACTGAAAGAGCTATATGTGGTATATGCTTATTTTTGTCCCCCACATATGTCAAATTTTGAAAATTTCTTGAAATTTGCTGAATTGTATATTTTGTCTGAAAAATCTGAATTGACAAATTATATTATAGTTTCGAGATAGGATTTTGGCAATTTTTATTTCCGTGATGTCACAAACTATTTGGATTCTGTGTTATGTTTCAAAAAGAGGACAAAATTTGTTCAATTTTTATTATAGCACAAATCTTCTCCTTAACAATATTCACATATATCATTCTACACATTCTCCAACAGTGAGTTGGAGCAGACCTGTGCTCGATGACTTTTACTCAAAATATTGACATAATATACACCTTTTTCTAAATAAATCATGAAAATTATGAATTTATGTAATATTCCTGACGTCTAACATATGACATCATGGCTGATTAAGATATTTAATGCTTTGAAGTCTGCAGATATCCTTTTTGTTTTAGAACATAATTATATATTTCTCCCAGTCCATCAAAGTTTGATTTTGGGGGCAAATATTGGTAATTACTGAATATAGTTCTTTATGTTGAATTGTTCTAGAACTGTAAGGAAACATTTCTGTTTGATCTGCCGAACTTTGGATGAATCAAATTATGATTGTTTTGCAAATGAAAATCTCTTTGAATAAACATGTGGTTGAATGGTAATAACACTGAACAGAAGAGATGCCAGAGAAAATCAGTTTACAGTTTATGAATAAGCAATTCTACATGTAGACCCCCCAAAATTAAAAAAAAAAATGACTAAAGATATTTCATTCAAATAGGGGTGGGGAGGGGTGGGAGTGAAACATGTAATTTTATAAGCAATTCAAAACATTCAAGATGAAAAATAAAATTTAATTGAGACATGTACTAAGTGTTTGTTATCAGAAACCCACAAAATTTGAATGTTATATATGTTTACATTTGAAATAGTTATCATAAAGTGATACAAGTGGTTGAATTTTTATATTAAAAAAATCTGTTTAATTCAATTTTGGTAAAAACAAATAAAAACAAAAAACAAAACAAAAAAAAAGCATTAGAATTTACCTACAGCCATCACCTACTTTGCTACGTATGTAATTAAGCTGTATAAGGAATGACCTCCTGTTCAAGGTAACAAAATAAACTCAGGAAGGTCAGATTCAAAAGACTGCTTAACTGTTAGACCACAGTTACATATCCTTTTATCCACACTGGTCTGTGTTACTTAGATTATTTTTCATTAGCATTTTTGTATGAGTTGTATCAACTTCAAACTTTTTGTTAATGAACAAAAGAAAAAAAGAACAATTTTCTATATTCTATTATATGTATAATTCTTTATTTATGTAAAATTATTTGAAAGCTTCATTGATCTGAAATATTTACTTTTTAGGGGAAGTTCCCTTTACATTCCTACTTTTGGTTTAAATGTATATACACAGTGCCCTAAATGCATAAAGGCAAAGGAACTAATCTCCACACTCATTGATTTGTTGTGCAATGTCTTAATATTAATGTTATGTGATAAGTTTCTAAACAACACATGTATCAATGAGCATTTGATATCATTATTGATGTATAACATTCAGAGTGGCAAACTAGCCAGCCGGCTTCACATTTATAAGGACATAATATCCAAAACAGCTAACAGTGAAAAATGAATTACATTCATAAAAATCTTATCAATCCATAATTTTTTGCAACTAAATTACATTCTAAATATAAACAAATAAAAAAAGTAATAATAAATGTTGATTACATTACATGAAGTTACATAGGATTACTAAATAGTGGAGGATTACTAAATAGTGGCCATCACTTCTGTGTTTGTAAGCATGTATTAGTTGTATTCATAAAAAAAGTTAAAAGATATAAAAAATACATCAGTATATAATTTTTCAAAATGCAAATCCTGGAGCCTACAGTTTTGAATTGATTTCAAGACTACACTAGAAGATACATAATTCTATATATTTGTTCCTTTATCTTGGCAAAAGTGTTGCCATGATAACTAAAATTAAAATTTTTGGGGAAATTTTTCAAAATGCTACTTCTCCTAAAGTTTTCAATAAAACTTAGTACAGAAGTAGACTACACTAAGTAGTTATTGATTTCTTCTGGATTTTGAAATTTATACAAAAAACTTAAGGAAGTAAAATTTTTATTTAAAAGTATAATTACTTTGTATATAACTCAATCACAAATGAAATAATCACAAAATGTGATAAAGCATTTGTATAAATCAAACTTTTAATTTGGCATATAACTTGAAGATAAACTTGGAACTGGCTTGAAGTCCTGCTTCAGCAAGCAAGATTAACATAAAGGAAAAGACAATTTCTATATATTTCTTTGCTATATGTGGATTTTCCGAATTATTATGTTTCAATCATAAAACATCAAGGGCTTAAATTTACTATGGTGGTCATAGAAAAATTGCACTTCTACATTTCATTTCTTTTGAAGTTTTACATTAATTTTACAGATGATGTATCTTGATGTTTTTTGAACTTGTGTCAATTTTTATGAAACTGGCCAAACTTGCATGGATGATGCATCTAGGGATGCACACTACCAGAACGCCTCAGATGCTGCATCTGACCTACAATTTTCTGATTCGTGAGCAGGTAATTTTTTTTTTTTTTTTTTGAGCAGGTCAGTTATCAATTTTATATCTTTAGTACCATCTGTGGGGTTACTTTATGGTTTAAACCACTTCTTTGACAAACTAGTTCAGGAGTTTTTTTTTTTTTTTTTTTTTTGATCAACTTGGTTGAAACGAAATGCTTGCTGAATATAACATTTGAATTCTGGCATATTCACTCAAGACAGCGACTGAATTTACACTTGCATCTTCAAAATTACAAAAACCTTGCCAATCTAAATTTAAAAATTATCACAACTAACTTTGCTTTTATCTGAGAAGTTAAAGTATCTGTTCAGAGAACTGAAGACAAAAAGTTAAGATTCCAGTATGCTGTAATTTAACTGCTATTTTATTTTGACTATAATACATAGCATTGTATGATTTATAAAAATGTTGGCCTGCAACTATTATTTAGCATGTACATGCAGCTTTTATTCAGATTTAAATTTAGGAGAGATTTGTTAGACCCTGCATTTGGTAAACAAAACATTGAAAACAGCTTCTTTTTTTTAAATCATTTTTCTTCTTTGACTTTGATATTTTTTAAACAGACTGAAAGGAAAACACAACAGTTGCGTGTCTTGCTGGATAGGTATGTTTATTGGTAATATTATAAGAATTATATTACAGGATGTGTAAAATAAATCTTTTCATAAATCTGTTCTGAATGTCTTAAAGTTACATAATCTTAGTAAAGATAGCAACTTTTACTATAGCTACACCTTAAATTTTCCGAGTGCATATTTTGGACTGTCAGACATTTTTTTTTTTACAGGTGCTCTTGTGTTACAAGAAAATAATAGATCAAGGAAGTTGAATCATTAAATGTTACAATACTTACTGTAATTGTATCACATGAAAGTAACATGCAAAAAGATAAATGTACAAATATTGATATCTAAAATTAAAAAAAAAAACAACATGCAATCTTTATATTAAGTGGATATTTCAGTGATAGAGTCTCAACATATAAATGTGTGAAACCCTCTACAGTTTGATGGCATCAGGTCGGAGAATCTATACTCTTAGTTCTTTGATCTTGTAGTCCATTCACGGCACTCATTAAATCTTTAGTTTTGTCAAGAACAAAACTAAGGGAATCTTTAATTCCTAAAACTGAATTAAAAAAAAATCATTAGATGCCTTCTTACAGTGCAAAGAATTTCATCTTTTATATACTGTTTAACATCAAATTAAGGCAATCAAGAATTACTTTATTTACCTCCAGTGTCTGATGCAGAACTCTCCAGCTTCTGAAGGTACAAAAGGGTACTATCTGCATGTTTCTCTAAGCTTTCTATTTCTGTGATTTGATGTCTTACACATTCATTTGCATAACAAACCTGAAAATCATTGAGGAAAAACAAAAGTTAAAAAAGAAACCACAGGGATAGGATAAACTCATCTGGGCTAAAATCCCAGCTACCTACTTACAAACAAGAGGCAAATGGGCCACATTGCTCACCTGAGTAACTTTGGCCCTGCTGTTCTTCACTAGATTTCTCCCTTGTAATACTTATTTTGACCCCACCCTAACCCTGGGGATCATAATTAGAACAATTTAGAATCTACACTACCTCAGGAAGCTTCCACATAAAATTCAGCTTTTCTGGCCCAGTAGTTATTGGGAAGATTTTTAAAGATTTTTCCTATATCTTTCAATGTAAAACTTGGATTCCCTAATGTGGCCCCAACCGAACCCCCTGGGCTATGATTTGATCAATTTAGAATCTACACTACCTCAGGAGGCTTCCAAATAAGTTTCACCTTTTTTAGCCCAGTAGTTCTTGAGAAGAAGATTTTTAAAGAATTTTCCTACATATTTCAATGTAAAACTTTTGATTCCCTATTGTGGCCTCACCCTACTCCTGGGGGCTATGATTTGATCAGTTTAGAATCTACACTACCTCAGGAAGCTTCCTCAATAGTTTCACCTTTTATTGTCCAGTAGTTCTTGAAAAGAAAATTTTTAAAGATTTTTCCTATTTATTTCAATGTAAAAACTTTTGATTCCCTATTGTGGCCCAACCCTACCCCGGGGGTCATGATTTGAACAATTTATAACGTACACTACCTCAGGAAGCTTCCATATACATTTTAGCTTTTCTGGCCCAGTGGTTCTTGAGGAGATTTTTTTTTTAATAACACCACCCTATTTTTGTCTTTTTTTGATTATCTCCCCTTGGAAGGGGGTTTGGCCCTTTAGTTTTAAAATTTAAACTCCCCTTCACCCAAGGATGCTTTTTATAAACTTTGGTTAAAATTGGCCAAGTGGTTCTTGAAAAGAAGTTGAAAATGTTAAAAGTTTACAGATGGACAGACTACGGATGATCACAAAAGCTCCCTTGAGCTTTCAGCTCAGGTGAGCTAAAAACTCAGTAGCCGAAAGTATAGTAAAATAATTACAAATATAATATTCTTTAAACTTCATTCAAAGGATTTGATTTACACAAAAGCCAAAAGTATAGTAAAATAATCACATATAAAATATTCTATGAACTTCATTCAAAGGATTTGATTTCATTTCATATTGTATTTCTCTAGTTAAAGGACATATTTAATCTAAAAATCCTGATATATGTATATCACACATGTAGGGCTCTCAGAAAACTGAGAGACATCAGATTAGACATAATAAGTAGATATTTGTGAAAAGATGGGACTGATGATCATTTTGAATATATCCCTGGTATTTACATTTCAGTGGATATCTACATTCAACTGTATACATGTATGTGACTGTAACATAAATAGAGCTGACATGAACAATTGAATATTTGCGAATAAATTGTAAATGGCAAATATTCGAATGGAAATTTAGTATTCGGATATTCGGTCATGTGATTTATACTTCAATGTTTTCTTTGTTGATAAAATTATATTACCGGTAGTACTTTAACGATTAAAACTTTTAGTATTAAAAAGGTTTTAGCGCTACTTCATCCTATCGATGCTCCCTCTGAACTGTGGACTCCCTCTCAGGATTTTAATACTGTTAGAAAGTACCAAAAGTATGATTAGAAATTTTAACAAAGTTCTCGCAGTGTAAATCCCTTTGAGTATACTCTCAAGTTATTTCATTTGGAGTTTTATTCATGCCTACCAGTTTCATCACTGATCATATGCATGGCCCCTGCCATTTCCCTTTTTCTACCATGGGTTTCACTAAATCACGCAAATGTGTTTTATTTTAAAAAGAAATAAACCTAAAATCTAATTACTGACTTTAATTTTGCAACACTTTTATTTACAGACTTATCTTTGAAACGAGTATCATTTTAGTGGCATGTTCAGTAATGTTTACTGTGAACACCCCGATAATGCACACAGATTTTCGCTTATCTACAGTGTCATTCTTCCTATCAAACTGTGATGACTTTTGCATAGAATTTCATGAATCGTAGCATGTTAAGATGGTTTCCTATTTTAGTACAGAAATTTACACATTTTTCTTCCACAATTTAGGCAAATTTCAAACCTTGCATCATAAAATTAGGTCTATACTGTGAATACTCGTAGGGCGAGATCTGCGCCACCGAAAAAAATATCGTCATACCTTCTGAAAAAGTTTCAGCTTGTTTCTCAAATAGTTTTACTTACAGAAATATTTAAATCCTTTATTGACATATTGCATACAATTCTTTCTTTTAAAACGCTTGTGAAAACGATACTGACACAGGTCTTATTTGATCAAAAACGACATTGATGACAATTTCGTACTTAAAACTTTAGGAAACATTAAAATCTCTTTGTAAGTGTTCAGTTTTCCATTTGCTTTGCGGAAAAACTGCAAGCTTTAACAATGGACAGTTTAACGTTAAGTAACGATATCAATAAAAATTATATTATTACATGTACAGTGTATATACGTTTACAAAATTACCGATGGTCTCCTAATGGTATAGGTATTATAACATTTCAGAAAGATACACTTTAAATATTACATCGACAAATATTCGAATATAAATAGAATAGTAGTCCCAAATATTCAAATATTGATTTTTGTTATTTGTTTCAGCTCTAAAAATAAAGTAGTATATGCAGTTTATAATTACAATTCTATTAAAACTCAACAATTCTTTACTTAAATTAATTTAAAATATCCTTCCCCTACATATATATAGAGTGAATTTTTCACTTATGCATTATGATACATTCTCAGTGAAGCAGTGTTACAGTACTAACAGCTGTGATGTGTTTGCGGAGCTCTTCCATTTCGGTCTCTAACTGGCTATCTTCCTCGGGACTAGTGGGATGTGTCATCTGCACCCTGTCCTCTGGAAGCACAAGATCTTCAGGAATGTTGAACACATTTCTTAGAAGGTAAGACTGTGAAACAAGGACATGGTGATTTAATTAAACATTTTACAAAGAAAATGACCGGTAATTAAGATGCGTTTATCAAACAACCCTAACAACAATATACACATGAAGCAAATTCAGAAAATTATGGTCTCCAGCTTTTGGGATCCTACTGGTTGAGCTGCAATAATTTATAGCATATTGTTACTCTCTAGTCTGTGATGTCTGTCCATCACCTAAACATAGGTAATCAGAGATTACAGAGCTCACCTCAACGAATATTGTCTTGAAGTAAGACAAAGTCCCACATTAAAGTTCAATCGCTGAAACATCAACAATATTAATTTTCTAGCAAAGATTTTTAAATATATGATTTTAATAGCATGTGTAAACTTTGTCATATCAAAAAATTTTGAGACATGATAAAAGACCTTTAAGAAGATTTTCAAAAATAGCACTAATTTTGATGGTTTAATCCCTACCCCTCAGGCCCCAGGGGGGTACGGACCATGAAATTCAAATTTTTGGTTCCCCTTGTCCCATCGATGCTGTACGCCAAAATTAGTTTAAATTGGTTCAGTGGTTCAAGAGAGGAAGCTGAAAATGTTCAAAAGTTTATGACTGACAAACCACTGAGTGACTCGGGTGACCTCCAAAAGAAACCAATTTTTTCCTTGCCTCTAGTTGATCAAATCTCTTGTCCAGCTTTTCCACAAGCACAGATTGTATTGTCTCCAAAGCTTGCTTTGTCTTCTCTTTAGATATCGCAGATCCAAACTGTAATGCCAATCAACAAAACAATCAACACTTTTATCTAGCTATCATGCTGTAACAGTGGTTTGGGAAGTATCTCAGGAAGAGGGCAATAGCATATGTATTATCAAGTAAACATAAACATTATATAAGGTGATTGTACAGGTATGTTAATATTCTAATTTTTTTTAAAGCCCTGAAGAATATGGACACTGCTACCAGCAGGGATGAATCATACATACCTAATATAGGAGATGCTACAGGTAGATCTAATGATAGTTATTAAGTTAATGTGATTTAAAGCTGATACATGTACCAATATATAGCTGAATGGATAATGCATATTTAGTGCCCTGGCCAGATGCAATATTAAGTGCCAAACCAGAGATTTGGTGTAGAGACCCAGTCTGACACATGACATGAACATTGAGTGCATTGAGTAGGGATCTGGTGAACAGATTTATAAGGAGGTACACTGGAACAGTATCTAGTCCAAAATCATGGCATGAGTGCACAAGTTGGGATCTGCTGTACAGACTTTGATATAGAGATGGCACTTAAGAACCCTGTTTAGGAATTGGGTATACAGACCTATAGGTGGATATATTGCCCTTTTCAAAGACATGACATGAACAGTGGGTCCCCATGTGTGGATCTGGTGTACAGACATGCATGTAGATACAATACCCTGTCCAAAGACATGGCATGCAACATTCAGCCCATGTGGGAATCTAGATTAGGACCTTTCAATAAAAACCTTCACTACTCATGATCATCAAAAACAATGATTACAGTGTAGTGGCCCATCATTCTATTTATATATACTATTCACTCCTGCTATAATGCCATCTATGATAATTTTCCATAGCAAATAACTAAACTCGATCAATAAAGTAAAAGTATCGTCCAATTCAACACTAAATAATTTGCTTGTATACTATATTTGAAATACTATGTGTAAAATTAAGTCATAATTTTATAACATGAGTAGGTTTCTCTTTCTCTGAAAAGACCAAGCTTTTCCCGCCTTGTTAAACAAGATGAATTCCTGAGAAAACTTATTTTGAAGGAATAAGGAAATCAAAGATGAGGAAATCTGTCAGAGAGATCAGCAAACAGAATTACCTCTTCATTTATAAAATCTTCCATAGTGGACAGTCCTTCCTTTAGGCTGGTGATAACAGCATTGTATTCTGAAAAATCAAAAACAGATAACAATCTTAATGAAGTAGGAAATATTATATTATGATTATATAAAAGTATTACAATTCCCACCAACTTCCATTTCATGTTTTACAAATTTAAGGAACAGATGAAGTTTTCCTATAAATGTGTTCTATTCAATTTGTTGCTGGTCAATTTGGTAAAATTTCTATCTTGACATATTGCAGAATTTACTCTGCCTCAAAGGCAATTCAAAATTTGTAAATTTGAGCCACATAGGAGTAAAATATAATTTCTTATGGTGTTCTGCTAAAATTTAAGACCAGAGCATATATTTTAATTTAATATTTTATTTCATTCTTCAGAGAAATTCTTATGCTTCTCTACATAGCCATCAATTAATATTTATATATTAAACACAGGAATTTTTCATTTTTTTTCCTTACATCAACACCTGTCTTGTCCAAAAGACTTTTGAGGGTATAACGTCTGAGTAACTGATTATGATACTATCCTTTTATAGTTAAGTCAAAATTTATCATAGAAATATTGACCCGTAGTCCATTAGCCCCTTATTTGGTTTGACAGGATTTTGTTTTAATTGTATATGATTTGAACCATACACAAAGCCTGAAAAGTGTCATAAATTCCAAATTTTTGGTAGAGGAATCTTTGCTCAACAGATTCCAGCTAGATATGCATGATTAAGTAAGATGTTTTTAAGTGCATTAATTTTGAAAGTTTTGCCACATCATTCAGTCTCCAGGGCAAACAGAGACAATACATCTCAAAATCTTTACAGCAAAAATTTTCAAACCCAAAGTAAAAAAAATAGCATCAAAAGAGAACAAATTGGGAATTTTCTATCATAAACTAGAAATATGTCCATAGGACATGAATGCCCCGCCGAGGGTATATTAGTAATGCAACATGAAAATTTGTATTAGTGTGTGAAATTTGATGAGAATATCTTGAATAGTTTCTTTAAAATTGAAATCTAAAAAGTTGGATATAGATGATAGGTTCTCATCAAATTATGTATACGTGCATAAGCTTACATAAATATATCTTAAATGATTTCTTTAAAACTAAGCAAAATGCAAATTTAAGAAAAGTGAGGTCAAGGTCACAGAAAAGTTCAATGTCAAAATTTTTTGATGCAGTTGAATAGTTCTCACATATATTTATCAACATATTAAGTTTGATAAAAATATTTTGAATGGTTTATTTAAAACAGATATAAATACTAATTTAAAATAAAAGGGTTAAGGTCAAAGGAAAGGTCAAGGTCAAAAAATGTTGATGCAGTTGAAAAGCTCTCATCAGTATGTATAAGCATAAGAAATTTGATAAAAATATTATGAATGGTTTCTTTAAAACTGAGTTAAACACAAATTGAGAAAAGTAAGGTCTGGGTCAAATGAAAGGTCAAGGTCAAAAATCTTCATGCAGTTGAATAGCTTACATCAGTTTGTATCAGCATATGAAGTTTCATAAAAATATCTTGAACGTTTTTTTTTTTTTAAATTGAGCTAAACACTAATTTTAGAAAAGTGAGGTCAAGGTTAAAGGAAGGGTCAAGGTCAAAAAATGTTGAAGCAGTTGCATAGCTCTCATCAATATCTATCAGCATATGAAGTTTGATAAAAATATCTTGCCAATGGATAGTTTCTTTGAAACTGAGCTTTGAACTGAGCTAAATGCAAAGCGTAACGGAAAGACAGACAGAAGGATGGAAGGACAGAAGACGGACATGACAAACACTATATGCCCTGCCATATTCATGGCTGGGCATAAAAAATGACATTATGCTTATTCTACACTCATTGACTATTAATCTATGTTTAAAAGAATATCTACAACAAGTATTCATTGTTTTCTCTTGTTCTCACATTTTCGTGCTTTCAAGATGTCAATGGAGATGGACACTAGGCTGTCTACAACATGTGTCTCGCCATGATGTCTACTTTTAATTTAAGAGAAAGTGAAAAATTTTAGTCAACTTGTATATTTCATAAGAAAAGAATGACTATGTCATAGCAGTCTGTTTCGCTCAGCAATTAGGAATTTCTTGTCTCAAAATTGGGAAAAATCAACTTTTTTCGCATTGTGAATACATGTAATATCATTTATTGGTACCAGTTTTATTAGGGGAAAAAACCCACTGTTTTATCACCCTTACCAATTGATGCTATCAGGGCTCTCGATTGTCTATATTTGGGACCATTCAAAGGCCTCATTCACAATTCAAACAAGAGGCCCATGGGCCACATCGCTCACCTGAGCACACTGGCTAGACTAAGGCACAAATCAGTTCAGTAATGAACAGGGGGGGGGGGGGGGGGGGGGGGGGTTGAATTTTAAACTACCTGATGATGCTTTCATGTCAATATAACAAATGAATTTGTTGTACTTGAGAAGATTTTAAAAGAATTTTCCCATTTATTCCTTTGTAAAAATTTGATCCCCCATTGTAGCTCCTCCCTATCTCAGAGGTCATTATTTGAACAAACTTGAATCTACATTACCCGAGGATGCTTCAAAATCAATAAGACTAACATAGCTTTTCTGTTCTTGAGAAGAAATTTTTTTTCTATATGTTCTTATGTAAAACTTTCGATCCCCCATTGGGCCCCACCCTACCCCCGGGGGTCATCATTTGAACAAAATTGAATCTACACTACCTGAGGATGCTTCCATATAAATTTGACTCATCATGGCTTTCCTGTTCTTGAGAAGAAGATTTTTCCTATATATTTTTATGTAAAACTTTGATCCTCTATTGTGGCCCCGCCCTACCTCCGGGAGCCATGATTTGAACAAAATTGAATCTACACTTCCTGAGGATGCTTCCATATAAATATGACTCTTCATGACTTTACTGTTCTTGAAAAGAAGATTTTTAAAGATTTTTCCTATATATTTCTAAGTAGAATTTGGATCCTCCATTGTGGCCCCGCCCTACCCCCAGGAGCCATGATTTGAACAAAATTGAATCTACACTTCCTGAGGATGCTTCCATATAAATATGACTCTTCATGACTTTACTGTTCTTGAAAAGAAGATTTTTAAAGATTTTTCCTATATATTTCTATGTAAAATTTGGATCCTCCATTGTGGCCCCGCCCTACCCCCGGGGGTCATGATTTGAACAAACTTGAATCTACACTACCTGAGGATGCTTCCGTATAAATATGACTCTTCATGGCTTTACTGTTCTTGAGAAGAAGATTTTTAAAGATTTTTCCTATATATTTCTATGTAAAATTTGGATCCTCCATTGTGGCCCCGCCCTACCCCCGGGGGTCATGATTTGAACAAACTTGAATCTACACTTCCTGAGGATGCATCCATATAAATATGACTCCTCATGGCTTTACTGCTCTTGAGAAGAAGATTTTTAAAGATTTTTCCAATATATTTCTATGTAAAACTTTGATCCTCCATTGTGGCCCCGCCCTACCCCCGGGGGTCATGATTTGAACAAAATTGAATCTACACTTCCTGAGGATGCTTCCATATAAATATGACTCTTCATGACTTTACTGTTCTTGAAAAGAAGATTTTTAAAGATTTTTCCTATATATTTCTATGTAAAACTTTGATCCTCCATTGTGGCCCCGCCCTACCCCCGGGGGTCATGATTTGAACAAATTTGAATCTACACTACCTGGGGATGCTTCCATATGAGTTTCATCTTTCCTGGCCCTGTGGTTCTTGAGAAGAAGATTTTTTAAAGATGCTATTCATTTTTCACTAATTCTTAATTATCTCCCCTTGAAAGAGGGTGTGGCCCTTCATTTGAACAAACTTGAATCCCCTTCACCCAAGGATGCTTTGTGGCAAGTTTGGTTGAAATTGGCCCAGTGGTTCTGGAGAAGAAGTCGAAAATGTGAAAAGTTTACAGACAGACGGACAGACGGACTACAGACAAAATGTGATCAGAAAAGCTCACTTGAGCTTTCAGCTCAGGTGAGCTAAAAAGGTACCTTTTTATCCCAATTGAATATGTTAATTTTCCAAAAGTCATTTTGCTTCAGAATTTTAAGACATATAGTAAGATGTATAATTATGGAACTTGCTATTCATATTCCTCTACAGAAAACAGAAATTGAAAAAAAGCTTTTTTTAAAATTCTTTGTTTTGCAGTTGCCGACCTATAATTTTTAGAGCGGGTAGGTAGGTACGTTTTTTTTTGGGGGGGGGGGGGATAGATTTTAGTTTAGTCTTCAGGATTTCGTTTGATAACAAATCATAGAGATTTTTGTAGGGTTGCTAAAATAAATAACCTCTACTCATTATCCACTAACTGATAAAACAAAAATAAAAATTAGAAAATGAATCAGCTTCAATATCCTGAAAACTGAAAACTTTCCCCCAAAAAAATCTTCTCAAAAAATGGTTGAAAAAAAGTTTAGGTTGGGTGCATTTTAAGTGGGTTGGTAGGCAACTGCAAACAAACAAATTTTTATTTTAGTCCCAATGTACAATGATTTTAATTTATAATGATTTCCTTAAAAGATCGATAGTTTTCCTAATTTTTATATCCCCGGCCCCAGTCCCAAACATAAGTAATCAGAGATTACAGAGCTCACCTCAACGAATGTTGTCTTCAAGTAAGGCAAAGTCCCACACTAAACTAATAATCTAGGAGTGTGCATCCCTAGATGCAACATTTATGCAATTTTGGTCTGATAGGGCTTGCAGTTACTTGGGAATAGACTTATCTGAAAACTTAAACTAGTCACTCATTCAGAAAATGTAAGTCAAATCCAGCATCCGAAGCAAGTTTTGAGATTGTTCGTCCCTTGATGCATCATCAATGCAAGTTTGGTTCAGATAGGCCTTATGGTTACTTGGAAATGAGATCTGCTCCAAAGACTTTAATCTGGTTACTCATCCAGAAAATGTAGGTCAGATCCAGCATCCGAAGCAAGTCCAGTAGTGTGAATCCTTAGATGCATCTTCCATGCAAGTTTGGTCAATATAGGGTTTATAGTTACTTGGAAATGACATCTGCTCCAAAAACTTTAACCTGGTCACTCATCCGGAAAATATAGGTCAGATCCAGCATCCGAAGCAAGTCCAGTAGTGTGCATCCTTAGATGTATCATCCATGTTATAGTTACACTATAGATATTAATTGGTTAGCTGTAAATACACTCACAGTTTTTCATTCACGAGGGGCGGAGCCCCGAGTGAATAAAAACTGTGAGTGTATTTACAGCTAACCAATTAATATCTATTGTGTAAGTTACTTGTACCAGAGGACCAATGAGAGAAAAGCGAGTTGATAAATAGCACCGCCTACTACGAGGTGTCAAGACACGATCCGGAGTCTGTATAAATAGCTGTCTCCATCTGCAAGGATCATACTTTACTGCGGCACTGCTACTACAAGTTGTTGATAAAAAAATCGGAATTGGTACGTGTGAAGATATTGTACCTTTGAAATGTTGAAGACGCAGAAAACATGATTTTTTTTTCAGGTACAGGTATAGGGGTAGCGATTGTAGGTTTTTATGTTCAAGCCGTCAACTCTGAAAGAAAATTTATCTTTCTAGATCGTTTTTTTTTTTTTTTGAAAAAAGGGGGGGTGGATATGGGAAACATCGGCATTGAACTTTTTCTTTATGGCAATCGGCGTACAGAAAAAAATGAAATGATTTGTGACATTTTAATGAAAGTTTGAAATGGTATTGGAAGTAAAAAAAAATGCGGGGACTTCTGATGTGAAATTGCTATATGTATTTGGAGACGGGAAATGAGAATTCGAGATAGGACGTATCATTTACTGATTAAGGATACGCGGAGAAAACATACAGAACCATTTATGAAGCGGACACCGACAAGCTAAATAATGTTAGTATTTTTGAAATTTAAAATGTTGACTTAATTCATTCATCAGCCATTGCCTTGGTCTTGAAATTGACATCATTCATTCATTAGTCAAGGTCTTGACACAGTATGGCTTGATGCCAAAAGGTTGGCTTGACTTAAAAAAAACTGTGATTCTTCTGGCAAATACACCACAGCAACATGAAAGCAAAATCTAAATTTACCGCCAGTCCTATGGTACAAGCAAGTTTGGTCAATATAGGGCTTATAGTTACTTGGAAATGAGACTTGCTCCAAAAACTTTAACCTGCTCCAAAAACTTTAACCTGCTCCAAAAACATTAACCTGGTCATTCTTTAGCTGAAATTGCAGCATCTGAAACCTTGACTGGTACAATGAAACACACTAGAAGCATCCTCCATGCATCTCTGACTAATATAGGCCATAGAAGTACTTGAAAAGAAAACTGCTCCAAAAACCTTAACCTGGGACGCCGACGCCGAGGGTATTACATAAGCTCCCCAAACTTCGTTGAGGTGAGCTAAAAAGTGGTGTGAAAGCCCTGGCTATATGCTAAATTCAGTTAAAATTGGTTTACAGACAATGATGGACAAAAACATATAGAAATAGGTCATCAGATTGTCAGATCATTATTAATTAATTGATATTTACCTCCATTAATAAGTGACTTGGGAGTGAAACCTAAATACTGGCATTCATACTCGGAGCCCTCCCCTTGTACTACACTTGGTGTATCTGTTGTATATGTTGACGCAGACTCAGAACGACTACTGTGTTGTATTGATACCTCCTCCTCTGGACTCTGTTCAGTGTCCATTCTGTTCTCTGCCATGGCAATAATAGCCAATAAAAAAAATGAGCTGTTCCTTTAAAAAAAGGGGAAAAATTTCAAATGAATGTCCAAAAAAAAAAAAAAATACTCCTCACTGTTTTGGTTATACAGAACAAGTAGATTGCCATAAAATCTCTGTTACTTGTGAGTGACCTTTTTTTTTTTTAATTTCCTGCCCAAATCTGCACACTGCAGTGTGAAGTGAAGAAGAAGAAGAAACATACACACAGGCACTCCATAAACAGTGATAAACTGATAAACATGATTAAAAAAAAAAAACAGAATGCTACAGAACTGAGTACCATGAAATTTGCATAAAAATGAATAGAAACGGCTTTGATTTATTGTCCACAGATACAACATTTTAAAAATTACTTGTATAAAACTGAATAAATTTATCTGAAATCGGTATTTTTTCCAAACCTTCTTGATCTAACGTAAACTTTTGGTCATTCTCATATTTGGCGCCATTTAATCTCCAAAGATGTAATCCTGTATTTTTATTCTCAGAACTGATAAATTTTTTATCATTTCAAATGCAGATACAATGCATGATATTTACAATTTACGATTTCGTTCAATTATTCTTTGCGTGAATTAGAATAAAATTTTCAAGTCTGCTTTTTCCCCAAGATTATAAAAAAAAATAATATATAAACCAAAACCGTATTTTTCGGAATACTTTCATGATACATTTGTCAATAAACTTAATGTGAATAAACTAAAGTTAATTTAAGAATGTCCTCCGATAAAATATGATGAAAGTTTGTTTAATTTCATAAAATATGAATTTATTTAATTAAATTGTCATTTCGGAGAATATAATTTTGTAACTTATGAAATCGAACATACTTCCGGTGTTGAGCAAGATTTTTGTTTTGTTTTATTATTCGAACAAAAAAGAAACTTAACGATTAATCTTGAAAATACTCTTATTTTTTGTATATGCAGCTTCTTCAATAATAATTATAATTCCATATTTTGTTTATTTGGTGATCAGAAGTGAATCATATAAGGAATAAGAGGTAAGAGTATGCACTTGCCTTTTCTATTTACTGAACAAATGTGTGTATATAGTAAACTCTTTGAACTTAGTTTATGCGTTGCATATGAATTCTAGTTTGCAATTATGGAGCATTTAAATATAATATTCAACCAAATATTAGTCAGTATCTTTATATATATATATATATATCTGCACTATGGAAAATAGGATGGTCTATACCAGATCAAAATGGAAGCCACATCAGTGTATATAAAAAAGGAAGTTGAGGATGTTGAGTATGAGAGAAGTTACCATTATTCAGAAAATGACACTTTACTAAATCCTGTCACCCATGAAGAGGATTATACAGTCACGGTTAACCCAGAAGCCGTTTTAGACATCAAATATGAAAGGGGTAGGTAAAAAAGCCATAATAAATAAATTCATAGATTCTCATCCAAATTTTTTTAAAAATCGAGGCAGGCAGGTGGATTTTTTAAAAATATGTTGGGACGAGCGCATTGTTCAAACGAACCCCTCTTCAAACCGCACAAGACATTTGGAACATCTAGACTGTGATGTCACATGACATTGTATGTTAGCTGCATTTCCATAAACGAAAAGTACAAAATTTTAAAAGAACGTTTAATCTACTAGATCAGGGTTAGACATTAACTTTTTTACTTTGGTGGACCGCAGGTCCACTTTTCAAAAATTATTGGTGGACCTTCTCAAATTCTGGTGGACCTTCATAAATGTTTGAATTCATTACACAGGTTACACAAGGCTTGAAACTAACTTATGTACCCAGTCCAGTCAGACTAGTAAAGTATATGTTTAATCAGTCAACTGAAACAATCATGAGTTTTTCAGCAATATTCTTTAATATATTTTCAATATTTTAAAACAAAACACAATCTATATCTTCAAACAATTTGTTATTTTAATATCACTTATTTACAATGGTAAAAACCAACACTTATTTTGCTTCCAGCGGTAGATAAAATTTAAATTTCCTATAATTAAGTTGTACATATAAACAAGTGAATTTTCATATATATCTATGGCTAAAACAATTTTTTACTACGATGCAAAACAACAAAAGTATATGTATTTATTTATTATTTTTAAAATTATTATTTATTCAAATAAACTGCAATCATTTGATTCTTTTTGTGATTTAATGTATAGCAGAAAAAAAGAAATTGCAGATAACGTGTTTTCATAAAATATAAAATCATGCCTGTTTGAAGATCTAAAAAAAAAATAAAGAAAGAATGCATAAATGCAGCTGTCAATTCTAATTATCTCCAAACCTGGCCACCAGTGTGCGTTCAGGCGTGAAGTGATTTCCTGTTAACCAGTGTACATTTTCACACCTTTCTGTGCATTAAATAAACGAAGGTCAGACTGACTAATTGGGCACAAATTTTACATGCTTCCTTTTCAAATTTCGTGTTGAGTGTTCTTGCGTCTTAATGTTATTGTTATTGTAGTCATCAATATTACATGTAAAATATATATTCAGCTAAATATTTAGCTAAAACAAATTTTACCATTTATTTATTGTAAAATACAAGTATGGATGAATTAATCGTTTGATTTACGGGTGTCGATTTATAGAAATAATGGAATTTTACTGTGTATTTTTCAATACGGTGTTTAAATTTCAAGTGGACCGACGGTCCACCTAGTCCAGAACATTTGATGGACCTTCCAATTTTTTGGTGAACTCGGGCCGCCGGTCCACCATTAGTGTCGAACCCTGTCTACTATCTGTATGCAATATCCATTAAATTAAGGTGAGTTTATTTTTTGTGAATTTTTAGTTGTTGTTACCGCGCAATCAAAGTTAACAAGGCGAACAACAAGTGTTGCATTGTGGGTCCAGAGTTACTGCGTTAGAAAATTCTATTGAATGAATGTGCAGTAGTCAGAATTTTCTCTTCGCACAGGCGTTGTCATTAGAGCTCGCAGTGATGAGCGGCACTTTGTGCCATTCACTGCTCTCGCTATTATATAATTTTTATTTCTTCCACTACAAATTTTTGTTGGCCTGGTCAATTGGTGCAGATTTATCTATTATTGCTAAATGAGTGGCGCCTGAAGTGTGGGATCGATAGCACTCTTCCCCCCCCCCCTTTTATTTAAAAAAAATTGTAAGAGCTTATAATTTCTCAAAAAATATATATAATTTTCCTGTTAATCACATCCATATGTCATTCTATGCAAGCAGAGTGTACTTTTTCTAACATTTAGAGAATGGCTTTGTACGGTATAATAAAAATACACAAGGTAAGAAGCAAAATTTGTAAACAAAGGGGTGGGGGGGGGGGGCCCTGCCTTGAGACATATTTCCAAGATAACAGTGTTACCTATCATAATTTTGCAAGCACTGTCAGGGAGATCTTCTACTAGTCATTTTAACCTAAATCCCATCATTAGTGTTTTATATGCCGTAATCGGACGATTTATTGATTGGATTCATAAAATTTTCTCTATTGACTGCTTTAAAGGAGGTTTGAAGTTTGCAGATCTGTTTCTCTTTATCTGATTGGTTAACAGAAACATGAGAAATAAAGTTTAAATCTTTGACCAATCAGTTTCTCTAAATGTAAGAAAAAGTACAATCTGGTTGCAGAGAATGACATATGGATGTGATTGATGGGAAAATTATATATTTTTGAGAAATTATAAGCTCTTACAATTTTTTAAATTAAAGTATTGAAGGGGGGGGGGGGATATCGATCCCACACTTCAGGTACCTGTGACCCAAATAGAAGTCATGTTAGAAGTCCATCTGAATAATTATGTCTCTTTCTACACATCCTCACTAGTCTTTCACATCCAATGATCCTTGTTCAATACATATTACAGCAATTACCATCTTGTCAGCTGTCAAAATCACGCTAACATTCTTGGGATTTAAAATTTAAAATGAAAGTTGAATAGTAAGATGAATACTGATCCCAATCAGAAACAAGATGAAGAAAAACAAGAAATGAAAAAAAAAAATTGAGGTGGGGGTAAAAATTCGGGCCGGGCAGGGATGAAAATCTAGGATTTATTTCATTGTGGCATAATACTGAATCGATAAAAGCTAAATGCTTACACATTCATTCATTTATTTATTTATTTTTTTAATTAGAGGATATGTGATATTGTATTTTTTTAAATTGAAATTCACATATTTTTAAACTAGTCATACAGTTGTAATTTTTTTTTATTCAAAGAGAAAAAAAATGAACATTCTTTTTATAGAAGATGAACCTGCTACATTAAATGATCCAGCCTCTTCAGCTAAATTTCCAAACAATACCCCTGACCTTTCAGAAGAAAGTCATATCAAGGGTTTTCCACAGTTAAAAGAAGCACTGACTGCAGACTTGCCAGATCTAAATGTTAATAGGTATGTTCATCTATTACTCATGCAACAAACCATTCTCTGTACCAAAATGTCCAGGTTTATCAACAATTCTGGAATTATTTTGATTACAAAATCTTCTTGAACAGGTTGACATAATGTTTCAATGTACAATTTTGTTAAGACAATTTTAAAGTTAAGTTTGGACTTCTATGAGGGGGTCAACACAAAGATTTTGCTAAAACTTATATGAAAGCTTGCTGAAATAGTGAAGATTTAAGTTTTTTCAAATCATTATGGTGAGCCACAATGGGAGATTAAAAAACATGTGAATATGTAGGAAAAATGTTTCAAATCTTCTCAAGAACAGCATGGTCATGATTATTCATAATCCTACTAATATGTAAGCATCCTCAGGTAATGCAGATTCAAGTTTGTTCCAATCAGAACCCCCAGAGGTAGGGTGGGGCAACAATCAGGGATCAAAATCTTTGTAGGAATATTTAGAAAAAAAAATTTTAAATTTTTTTTCTCTCAAGAACAGCAAGGTCATTTATTAATACTTACTTAGTCCTCTTTGTGCCTTGAGCACATAAGGCCTGGCAGGGGTAGTATTAGTCATATTAATATGCAAGCATTTTCAGATAGTGCAGATTCAATTTGTTCAAATCATGGCCTCTGGGGATAGGTTGGGCTACAACTGTGGATCAAAGTTTCACATGGAATATACCGGTATAGGAAAAAAATCTTTAAAAATTTTCTTCTCAAGAGCAGCAGGGCCATGATAAGAAGGGCTGGGTATCGGCTGGGAATTTCGTATTGTGATATATGTTTATTGCGATATTTTAAACTGTATTACAATATGTATTGCAATATTTTTAACACCAGTTAAAATGCTCTCTTTCTTATTTTATTAACCTCCATTTATGATCAGAGTGAATAAAACTACATGTGTGTTTTAAATACATTGTAGCAAAAAAAAGTTCTTGTCGATTTCAGTTTAGTTTGCAACGAAATACAACTATACAACAGCAACCTTATTGTGTGGCATGATTGAAAGCATTTCTGGCATCTTAAATTTTATATTTTACTCTAGAAATCCCAAGCCCAAGCATTTTACCGATATACTGGTACTGGAAAAATGTATCGCAATATGATATTTATGTTAACGAGTAGCAATATACCGGAATATCGATATTATTGTACAGCCTTAATGATAAGTCATATTGATATGCAAGCATCCTCAGATAGTGCAGGTTCATATTTATTTAAATCACGACTCCTGGCATTAGGGTGGGACCACAATAGAAGATCAGGTTTTTTATGTGGGAGTACGGTATATAGAAATTAAACAGCAACCATTTCAAGAACAGCAGGACTTACACTAAATCACACCAAAATCATGGTTCAGGTAAAACGGTGGTGCTAAGTTTGTCATATATTGAGAATTCATCACAACTTTAAAAATCTCTTGGCCCTTGGTTCAGACCCTGGGGTGGGGCTGAGTAGGTCATATATTGAAAAATTGTAACTACTTTGAAAAACTTCTTTTCTGAAGAACATTTAGTGGAAAAACTTATTTTAGGATTACAGTGTCTGCATAGCCCTTGACCAGAATTGGAAAATTCATGTCCCCTGGTCCAGCATTCAGGTTCCAGGCTGAGGCCAAGTTGGGACAAAGTTGGTCATATTTTGAAAATGCATTTTTAAAAAAAAACAAGTTTGAAAATCTTTGTGTTTACTCATGGACATCTAGCAGACATACTGTTCACATGATTGCTATGAACATTTACCCCTTTACCAAAATTGTAAAATTCATATCCCCTGACCCACTGTTCAGGCCCAGGGGTGGGGCCAAGGTCTTTAATTGAAAATTTTTGACATCTTTGAAAATCATCTTCTTTACCAAAGGAGATCTAGTGATCATCCTAATTCTATGATTACAATGAATGCATAACCCTTTACCAAAATTTTCAATGAATGCATAACCCTTTACCAAAATTTGAAAAATTTTAAGTTCGCTCACTCCAACATTAAAAGTATATATTATATCTTCTTCATTTATTCTTTGGCATGCAAATTGTTTGCATGATTATAATGAGCAGCAAGCCTCTACAAAATTTATAAAATTCTTGTTGCCCTGGACCAGAGATTAGCCCCCCACCCCACCTTGAAGTGGGTGGGGACTAATTAAGTTGGACATGTATTGAAATTATTATACAGTATACCTTATTTTCTTTACTCCTGAATTTATAGATGACAAGCTGCATAAATATTAAATGATTATTAGATTTAATCCTCATCAAACTGTGAAATGTATATTTTATTACCGGTAGTCTAGGCCAGATCCAGTTCAACCCAAGGTGGTCATATCCAGAAAAAAAAAAAATCATACTAGGGTTATATTAAGACCCATGTGCTTCTTGTTTTTTAAAAGAGTCATATTTTGAGAAACCAATTTTTTTTCAGGCGTAAAAGAAATTTAAATGTAAGGAGAAGGGATATTAAGTACAGAGATGAATCAACGGAGCAGAGGGAACAGGAAATACTGAGTGATGAAGGTAAAAATAGAATGCTCGGGTTTACAGCTTGAACTATAAGTGATGAAGGTAAAACTAGAATGCTCGGGTTTACAGCTTGAACTATAAGTGAAGAAGGTAAAACTAGAATGCTCGGGTTTACAGCTTGAACTATAAGTGATGAAGGTAACTCTAGAATGCTCGGGTTTACAGCTTGAACTATAAGTGATGAAGGTAAAACTAGAATGCTTGGGTTTACAGCTGGAACTATAAGTGATGAAGGTAAAACTAGAATGCTCGGGTTTACAGCTTGAACTATAAGTGAAGAAGGTAAAACTAGAATGCTCGGGTTTACAGCTTGAACTATAAGTGATGAAGGTAACTCTAGAATGCTCGGGTTTACAGCTTGAACTATAAGTGATGAAGGTAAAACTAGAATGCTTGGGTTTACAGCTGGAACTATAAGTGATGAAGGTAAAACTAGAATGCTTGGGTTTACAGCTGGAACTATAAGTGATGAAGGTAAAACTAGAATGCTTGGGTTTACAGCTTGAACTATAAGTGATGAAGGTAACTCTAGAATGCTCAGGTTTACAGCTTGAACTATAAGTGATGAAGGTAACTCTAGAATGCTCAGGTTTACAGCTCAAATTATAAGTGATGAAGGTAAAACTAGAATGCTCGGGTTTACAGCTTGAACTATAAGTGATGAAGGTAACTCTAGAATGCTCGGGTTTACAGCTTGAACTATAAGTGATGAAGGTAAAACTAGAATGCTTGGGTTTACAGCTTGAACTGTAAGTGATGAAGGTAAAACTAGAATGCTTGGGTTTACAGCTGGAACTATAAGTGATGAAGGTAAAACTAGAATGCTTGGGTTTACAGCTGGAACTATAAGTGATGAAGGTAACTCTAGAATGCTCAGGTTTACAGCTCAAATTATAAGTGATGAAGGTAAAACTAGAATGCTCGGGTTTACAGCTTGAATTATAAGTGATGAAGGTAAAACTAGAATGCTTGGGTTTACAGCTGGAATTTCATACATCAGTTTCTCCAAAATTCTCAGTTTTGTCTGTTATGAAATCACTGGAATTTCATACATCAGTTTCTCCAAAATTCTCAGTTTTGTCTGTTATGAAATCACCTATTTCTTTTTAATCTGTATCTTATTTTATCTTCATTGTTATCTTGTAATTTTTCAAAAAAAAAAAAAAATAATAGTTGCAGTAATTAAAAAAAAGAACGCTGGAAATTAAACAGTGTTGAAATAGCTATAACAATAATTTTATCCTAATGCAGTCATTAGTGCCTTCTACATTTAGAGATGTTATGCATGCATGTCATCATGAAGATAATATGGTATTTCCTTCATTTTTCCAGTAAAAGTGGAAACAGATAGAGAAATATCCACGATATGGAATTCAGGGGAAACCAGTAATTTTGACAATGCAACAATCAAGATGGAAAACTTTGAAGATGATTTCAGCCCAGATACAAATTATATGGAACACTGCAGCAGTGAGTATTTCAAAATATTGAGGTGAAAAGCTTGGTTTTGATTTCACTAGAAGAAAAAGCATTCTTACACCACTGCGAAATGGAGCCATTCAGTGAAAAGCTACCTGTATTCATTGATACATTAAATCAACTGGAGCTGGCATTATTTCATGATGTCACATTCTAAACTGATGAAAACAGAATATGGGAGCATTCTTTTGAAGCCATGATTGAAGATTGAACTCGTATCTTTGGTGAGCTTAATAACTATAACTGTTGTTTAGATATAAAGCTCAATTACATAAATATACTCTATATTTTAGATATGCTTATTTTTGGCTTCACTGGAATTTTCCTGGATTCTGTTTTTTGGCTTGTCAATATCTGTACTGATAATCACATTAAGTCAGATGCAGTTAACAAATTGACGTGTTAGATGCATTGATACAGATAGTTGGTTACTACAAAACTGATGATGGCTACATTTTCAGTGAATGTAAACAAATACTTGACAAGGTTTGGAGAAAGAAAGCATGGTGACCACAGTTTCTGTTTTAATAACCATGTACATTTGTGGTATTGGTTTAAATAGGCAGAAAAAAAATGTGCTATAAGAAAGTAAAAAGGTTTTGTGGAAAAAAACCCAAAAAACAACAAACAAATCCAGTATATTTAACTGAATTAAGATTATATTTCATTCTTAAAGTACATGTATATGCTGATTAGAAGTATCTGTCCTACAATACATCAACATTTATTTCCATTTTCTAAGTAAGTTTAATTGCAGCAGATGGAACGACTGAGATAGCACCAGGAGATGATTTTGTCATAAAAACTGAATACTTAGAAGAGGAATCTTCACCCAATATCAACCTAAGGCCTAATGCCAGTAAAAGGAAAAGGTACAGTGTGATTTGATTTCAAGAACTCTAGTCTTCTCATTACAGAAGTCTACTGAACATTGCAAAATAAGTAGAATACCCAAACAAATAACTTTGTTTTACTGGTTTTAAGTCAGCTTGTGTGTCTATGTACTTTGGGCATCCTGAGGAATGTGTATTATAGTTAAGCAATTTTTCTGTCCTGTTGACTGTCAGTGAATACCCAGTATATTGCATTTTATCATGCTTTATAGTGACAATGATAAACATATTTCAGATCAAACCATGAACAAAACACTGATGCCTCTGCTTCTGTTCCAGTCGGAAATTTGATGAGTTTACAAGAATCAGATGGTAACATTTTTGTTTACACTTTTAATGTTTAAAGATATTTTTTTTATATGATCATTATTGATCTGCTCTTATACAATACATTGTAAATTTGGTTTGATCAATATTCATGAAAGAGGAAGACAAACTTTAAAATTTTTAACTGTTGTTGTGACAGAAGCCTATTAGCTCATCAGAATGTGAGCACAATTTTACTGAAAAAAACTATCTGACTCTAATCCACAAAATAGATGTGTAATTTCCACAACAGTGCTCTGATTGTCAGACAAAAATGTATTTCTCAACAAAAGAACTAATGTAAAAATATGAAAAGTACACATGTAAGATTTTCTCTGTAACATACATGTAGATGTAGGAGACCTATGCTCCTAACCTACATCTAACACTTGTTAATGTACTGTTGGACAGAAAAACTAAATGAGTAGGCAACTGCAGGGAAGATAACTCAATCTTTACTACAGGAAGTATAACTCTTATCCTTTGGAAAAAGAATAAGTGGCAAAATATCAATATGAATGAATGGTTTCATGAATTTATTTTTTTTAATGTTTTCTTTAAGTGGTATTGTTCTTTAGAATAATAGAATTCAAAATTTTGATGGACCCTTTACCCTTCTCCTCCCCAAGCTACCAATACAAGTAATGAATGAAATCAGCCACTCAAGAATAAAAAAAATATAACTCTCACCTTAATATTACTGGAAGAAAATGTATAGACTAAACACAAAAGAGTTAAATATACAATAGTTTTTATGTCATTGTCCAGAGTACATTATAGTCTGTTAAAGAATAAAGACACTACATAATGCTTCAAATAAATCTAATGTTTATTTATTTGGATATTTGTTTTAGACCAATGAATTATGTTGATCATCAGGCATGTATTTTCTGTATGCTTTACATGAATTTTATTTGAATTTTTTTTCTTTATTTATTTATTATACAGATACTTTTCAGCTCACCTGAGCCAAAAGCTTAAGCGAGATTTTCTGATCAAAGTTTGTCAATCATCTATTGTTTGATATCCTTCATGCTTTGGATTCAGACTTGTTATTCAAAACTACTGGGCCAATTTCAACAAAGCTAAACAAGAAACAAACTTGGGTAAAGAGAACTCAAGTTTGCTCAAATGAAGGGCCACGTCTCCCTCCAAGGGAACATAATAAAACCATATTAAATATAAGGTGGTAAAAATCTTCTTAAGAACCACTGAACTTGAAAAGACAAAATTTATTTAGAAGTTTCTCTATATATTTGTAGATTTAAATTTGTTCAGTTAAGACTTCCAGACATTTGGGTGTAAAAATTAATTTATAATAGTGTAAACATGGAAATTTATGCATTTGGATAATTTACACAAAATATGTGATAAGGTGGATTTCCTGTAAATATTCCACTGCGAAGCAAGATCTTAAGACATATTTTATTTTAGGAATGACTCTAATTCTTGGCCAAATTATTCGAGTATAACCTGGTTTGGGTCAGTTTACGCTTTATAATCCGCAAAGCGGATTATAAAACAGCGTAAACTGACCCAAACCAGGTTATACTCGAATAATTTGGCCAAGAATTAGAGTCATTCCTTATAATTTAATTTTAAAATCATTAAGGTAGTATGGGATACCTCCACGTTATGACGTGTTTCCGTTTGAAGTATTGTTTTGATTTGCATGAGTGCTTATTATTGGGTCAAAATTTGTAGATACACCGTTGAAAAGAACACTCTGAAGCCTATTTCAATGCAAGTTCTCACAAGTCGGCATTTTAAGTAAAAACAGACAAAAAAATCGCAAGTATATAAATTTACTTATAATTGTACAATGGACATTTAAAAAAGCAAACCCCTGTAAAAGGTAGTTTCAACATTGCTGCTTTTGAACACTTTTAAGCAAAAGCTGTATTTCAATTGTTTGAGTAACTGTACAGCACCTTTTGTGCGGTGAGGCATGGATAAGTGCGATTACTTCACATTGTGCTGAATTATCACCAATCAATTATCACGTTAATCAGAGCTGGACTTTTTTGTTATTTAATTCAAGAAGTAACTGTTTGGTCACAAATCAGCTAGCTGTTGTATATAGTCCCAAAACGTTCAGATGAATGCAATTGCTCTGAACAAGACACGTCCTGGAAAGCGATTGTCCATGCATTGTTTTCAAAACCGCTCAAAGTTGAAAACTACAAAGTGCGATTTTTTTATGGTTGGGAAAAAATGCTCATCATTTCTAAAATAGCACCCAGGTTTTTTCAACCCTTGGAAAATAAAGAAGGATAACTCTTCCGCTCGGATCTTTTAATTCAAAATAATTTTAAATGCATTTTATATTTTCCATTTATATATATATTTTCAATTTGTTTATTTCACTTTGCTAACATATTAAGATACATTCTTATTGTAGACTTTCATGAAATGTTATCCGTCTGTTTTCAGGAAATAAAGTTTTCCCAGTTTTTTACGCTTATTTTTTGTTGAAAATTAAAAAATACTAAGACATATTTCTTGTCATTTTTGTTTTTATAAACACTTTATATTAGCAAACGCCTGCCTATAATATTAAGCTTATGAAAAAAGAATTATGCAAGAAAAAAAATCGTTTTTGTATTTGTCATTAAAATAATAAAAAAATTATTAAAATTACACTTTAATATACTGAAAGGTGGGGGTATTTCAAATCCTTCTAATTTGGGTACATAAATATGTAGGAGAAGTTTCGTTTGGTATCCCATACCACCTTAAATAACTATGGTGTAAAATTTCGTTGGTTTTTATTAGTTCAAATTTGCCGCTCAATAATACAACCATAGTAACGGAAGTAACGGAAGTGATGGGAAGCGAGGGGAGGTAAAAACTGATACATAGGCCTAGCAGCTTGTTTACATGTGGTAAGATCGAATTATTGTTTGAAGTTAAAGGTATATTTATTAAATCTGGAATTTTCCATGAATGCCGAGGACTGGAAATGAGAGGATTGTATGCATACAGATGATTCAGCTGGTTGTCAGGGGGGTGTGTCCCCATACCAAATCAGGTTATACAGAAATAATTTGTGTTCCTTTTTGGATATTAACCAATCAGAGACTAGAATACAAACAAAATTAAATTATTAAGCTTTAACAATATATTTTCCTGTTATCATGGAAATATCATCACGCTTCATGTTCTTGTTTCTAATTCACATAATTAACAACATGCATAAATGTCCACATTTACAGAAACAACAAGCTATAATTTGTACGCTTGACTTGAAACCTCAATATAAACCACCTCTTCTGGAGTTAAAATTGTTGATATCATGAAATTGAATAACCACTACATGTATCAAGGGATTCATTGATACATTTATTTGTCAGAAAACTTGGATGAATATTGTTGCCCATGGGCATCTTGTTTATTTAGTCAAAACAGGAACATTTTTTTTTTTGTTTATTAGTTTTATTTTTTGTTTGTTTTTTTGTAAATGTTTATCCTATAAGTTTACCATTGAAACAACAAGTTATTCATGATACTGTTAATATGAAAAATTGATGTGCAGTGTATAGATAGTTATCAAGAAATTCCTACATCTCAGAGATTGTTTCTTTTTCAAATTCAAGTGTTCATACATGGAAAGTTTTTGAAGAACTATAATGGTTGCTAAGTTTATACAGAGATCAGTATGAAAATCCTGCAATATGAGCTTTTGTCAATTTCTAAAAAAAAAAAATGGTGTATTTTTTAGGTTCAAATTATGAGCTGCTGAAATAAACAAATGACAGTCCTGATATTTGAATAGAAAACATTTCTTATCCCCAATATTAAGAGGATATAGAGTGTAATGTATGTGTACTCTTGTGTACCTCATCTCACTGTTTAATGTTTACCATCACAGAATATACAAACCAGCAACAATTCGGAAAGAGAATCAGGAATAGTAAAGGTCAACCAAAAGAAAAAGCCAGAAAAACTTGGTTTTTAGGTCAGTATGTTCTTTGGAGTTCAAAATCACTTTGACATAGCCATGGTATTCGAGATATCGGTGTTTGAGATACCAAAGTTCAACTGTAATATGATCTTTTATTTAATTATTAAGAACTATCAATCAGAGAATAGGTTAATTAACAAACTGATATTCATCACCAGAACAAGGCCATTCATTTCCCACCCTGACCATGCTTGGTTTACACATATTTTTTGATCCCATTAGCTTTGTTTAGTTTTCTTGCATTGCGATCCCAATGATGTGGGGAATTTTTTTTTTTTTGCAATTTAGTACAAAGAAACTTTGAATAAAATAAAAAAAAATGCAAATAATATATCACATTCCAAAAGGAAATGTACCCAAATAGTTAATTTATATTCTTTCCTTTACATTTTAAACTTAGTTGTTTTTTATCATGATAGATAAGGATAAAGGAATGTGGAAGAGAAGGTCGTGGTATGAAGAGGAGGCCAAGAACATGATGCAGAAAACGCGAGAAGATCTGAGGCAGATTGAAGAGCTCTACTCAAGTAAAGCCTCTGGTGAGGTCTTAGATCTGAGTGATGTACATCAATCTCGGGATTCTCTTTCTAAAAATCACATAACTCTTGGATTTTTATCTCCACATTTTTTGTAATGCCTGGAATGCTATTTCTTAGTTTGATGATTAACATTATCGTCATATTTTATGTGTTGTGAAATCTTTTAACAGGGCAAAAGACAGGGTCATATGAAACATTTTTGCAAACCATTGAGGAGGAAACAGGAGAGAAGAAAGGTGAGATGACTTATCCAGGTTTTTATTTTGTAGAAACAAAACCCTTGAAGGAGTCTTTCTGTGTGTCTAAGCATCAGTCTACTTGTCATTGTTCCTGAATGTTAAAACAATAAGAATTTATTTTTACAGTAGAGAAAAGAGAGATAAAGAGAGTAGTGGGGAGAAAGAGATCTCGTTACGAGGAGAAAACAGAGTTGATGAAGAGGAAGACGGAGGAGGATGAAGAGTTTATAGACAGTCTGAAAAACATGTTTAAACGTCCAGGTAAGTGGAAAAATGTTAAAGTAAGCCTTTTCCGCGGTTTTATTTTTGCAACCTGTCTGCTTTTCTGCGACTACTTCACACTGCTTTTCCGCGATTGATTTTTTACTATAATTATGTCTTTTGGATACCCCCTTTCAGCAATTTTTAATTGGTCACAGTTAGCACTAAGCATCAAACAGTTGCCAATATTTACCTGTATTTCTCCCCATCCAGTTCTCCTCATTAGTGAGTACTATCTCACAGTGTGAAAAAATTGAATGAATTTCACATTTTACACTGGTTGATGATATGTTTTAGAAGTAATGGAAATTGTTCGTACAGAAACAAATATTATGAATGGAGTTCGCATCTAAATATGAAAGAATGAATAATTTTTCTGTGGATCTTTCAATATTTCACCTTCATAGCAATCATGTGAACAGTATGTCTGCTAGATGTCCATGAGTAAACACAAAGATTTTCAAACTTGTTTTTTTTTAAAAATGCATTTTCAAAATATGACCAACTTTGTCCCAACTTGGCCTCAGCCTGGAACCTGAATGCTGGACCAGGGGACATGAATTTTCCAATTCTGGTCAAGGGCTACGCAGACACTGTATTCCTAAAATAAGTTTTTCCACTAAATGTTCTTCAGAAAAGAAGTTTTTCAAAGTAGTTACAATTTTTCAATATATGACCTACTCAGCCCCACCCCAGGGCCTGAACCAAGGGCCAAGAGATTTTTAAAATATTTATCAAATATGATGATAGAATTCATGACAGTTAATTTAATATATAATTTAGGACTAGTATAAAACAGTTCACTGCACAAAATAACTCTGTGTGCAGAATGCTTGTAATTATAGGAATCCAAACTTAACATACTTTAAATACTTCGAAAGAGAAAAATGATCATATTCTTCAAAATATAGTTCCTCACTTAATGCTTTTGGTATGGAATTTAATCATGGAGTTCAAACTTAATATAGTTTAATTGGCATTGTAGAATCCAAATTTATTGTAAGAATTAAAACATTATGCATAATTTTTAAAATATAGGTTAAGATAAAAATCTGCTCAAAAGCTCAGGAGCGAACCTCGTTAACAGTAGTAAATTAGTCCATTCAGGAAATCTTACTAAGTGAAACTGCTGGCGAAATTGCATGTAATTATGTCCTTTAGTGTTGATATAAAACCTTATCCCAAAGTGTATAACATTTTTTGTGCACATTGAATTTTGAGTAGGTCTGTGTACTATTACAGAAATTGGAGAGAAAAAACCAAACTCTCTCTTTTTTTGTACATGTATAAGAAGATGGAAAAAAAAATTACACAGAAAAAAAACTCCCAAACAAAAACAAGGTCTTAGCTATTGTTATGCAAGACAAATGTATTTTAAAATGCTGTTTTTATGTGATGTGGTATCTTTTATAATTGAAGGGGATTCATCAGAACATTCCAATCAAAGTACTGAGAGTACTTCATCTGCAGCAGAAATAGGGACTTCCAAAGAGAATGAAAAATCAGCTGTCATTTCTACATCATTGCTTACGTTAACAGGTAATTCATTTAGTGCAATCAAAATCAGACTTAAATTTACGATATGTATGTATGAATAAAAAAGTGATATAATTATATACTAGTATAGATGTAGCACAGGAAGTGTAACTTAAGGACAGATGATACGTTCCTCAATAATATATTTTTTTTCTAAGAATTTGTCATTGAAGTATTGCTACTTTAACATGTTTACTCTCAAAAAATTGAGGTACCTTACCAGGCATTTGTGCAAGATACCGGAGGATGTTGTTTCCTATAAAATCCTTTTTTGAAAAACTTAATTTGCCATTATCACATTTTTTAGTGTTTCAATTTTTTAAAGACAATTTGAAACAAGTTTAGAAATCAGAAGGTAATTTAAATTTGGAATATTTTCCATACAATACGAAGATATACGAAACAGATATTTGAGGAACGTATCATCTGACCTTAAGTGCAACTTTTCTTTAAATCCAATGAAAAATGATTTAATATACTGTAAATCACCAAATTTTTGTGCCACCTTATTTTCATGAGAAAGTTATTTAAGAGTTATAAGAAGATAAAATTTTCACAAATGTCAGGTATCACTGTATATTATCTTTAATAATAAAAACATTTACAAGAATGAAAGTTTTGTGAGCAAATGGTCAAGCCTAATTATGCAAAAATAAAGTTCTTGCAAAAAAAAGTGATTTACACTATGTGAACTCCTCTTTTTCCTATTAAAATTTATTGTTCATTGAAGAAAAACTGAATTACAGAGTTAAATGAGCTGAATGAGAAAAAGAAATGCATAAACAATGAAGATCTAGAGGGTGACAAATGGAAAGAGTTGAACAAGAAAAGCAGGGAGGAATTGGAACAAGGTAGGACATTAAAGTAACAAGTATAGAATTAAAAGCCAGTTACATGACTGAATATTGATAACATTAAATATTTACATTTAAATGAATTCTTTTCTTAAGATTAAAGTTGACTGAAAGATTTGTTTAAAATTTAACTATTCTTGCAACAATACTTAGAGAAGTGGGGATGGGGGATACTTTTTCTTATCTTCTCTTTCTATGATTATTTTATATCTGCCACTGAACACTCTGTGGGGCCTTGCTGACTGGTCAGTTTTGTAGTTGGATATTAGAGTTATCGTCCAGACCATATCTTTTTAACTCAAGGCAGGGGAGCTGATTATATATCCACTGCTACCTCATCCCAGAATAAAGTTTTTGGATCAGTTTTCTTTCAAAGTATTAGTAATTGTATGTTGTATATTGATCAGAGTTGCATTGATGATGTCACTGTACCAGTCAGGTTTTAGATGTGGCATTTTCAGCCATTATTTTCTTTGAAAATGACAAGGTTAATGCTTTTTGGAGCAGGTTAAAGTTGTAGAAGCAGTTCTCAAGTGACTAAACAAGCAGTATGGAGACTGACCAAACTTGCAAGGATAATTCATATACAGATATACACGATCAAAGTTGCTTTAGATGCTGGATCTGACTTACATTTTCCAGATGAGTGACCAGTTCAAAGTTTTTGGAGCAAATTTATTCCCTGTTAACTGTAACCTTACCCAAACCAAGCTTACATAGATACTGTATACAGGGTTATTTTCGCCCTTCACACTTGCAAGCAATATTGCCCAGTTTTAAATTTGCCCAGTCACAGTTCTGTGTGAAGAAATTAAACTGTGTTTTTTGAATTTGCCCCATTTAAATTTGCCCACCTGTGAGTAGGATGAAAGGGGCGAAAATAAAATGGGAGTAAAAATTTCCCTGTATACAGTAATGCCTCTAGGGATGGACACTAGATCAGACTTGATCCAGATGCCTAGTTTCAGAATAGATTTAATGTGGTAAAACTTTGTCCAGAGCTTAGGGACATTTGTGATGCAGACATTGTAATACACATTAAATTTTGTGAGATTGAACATGTACATGTATATAGCTATGCATTTAATTTTATTCTTTATTATTTCCAACAAGAAATTTGTGATGTGAATGGAAAAAGAAAGCTGACAGTCCCAAGAAAATCAATGTACGAGGAAAAGACAAAGCACCTGAATCGCAAAACACAGGAAGATGTGGAACTCATAAAGGGTTTACAGTCTCTCAGTTAGTATTAGTAAAATTCCAATTTACAACAAATTAAAAAAAAAACTTAAATTTTGATTTAAACATGTTACTAACAGTCATTCATATGTTTGTGTCTGCTGTATTAATTTCAGACATGAAGCATAAATAAATATTTACAATTTAGTGATTAAGTTTTATTATACATTGTTGATGAGAGGTAAAAAGTTTGACTACTTTCTGTGTCCCTGTGCCTCTCTTTCCCTTTTTTCACATATTTTCCCCATATTTATATGAACAACAGACCCTTTTGTTTCTGGAATTTTATTATGCATTCCTAAGAAACATTATGAACCTCTATAATGGTCTAAGCCTAGTTATGCAGGCCTTGATTTGGACAGACATGAATCTTAACTACATCATAATATAGAGTAACTTGCATATCAGGTCAATTTATTGTGGTTTTCTTTTCTAAACAAACATTTATGTCTCCTTCTTTCACTGAAAGCGGGGGATATTAATTTGGGTCTGTCTGACTGTCATTCTGTCTGTGTGTAACACAGATGATATCTCAAAAAGTCTTTGAGCTTTTGCAATGAATTGTTATATCACAACCCCCTATAGCTTAAAGAAGACCCCTATTGATTTTGAGTTTAAAAGGCCAAGGCCAGATTTTTTGCATTCTGTCTGTGTGGTACACTTTTGTTTTTGGACAATATCTCAAAAAGCCTTCAATCTTTTGCAATGAAATTTTATATCAAAACTCCCTATAGCTTGAAGAAGACCCCTTTTGATTTTGAGATCAAAAGGCCAAAGGTCAAGGTCAGAAATTCATACGTTCTGTCTTTGTGTAACACTGTCATTTTTAGATTACATGCACATCTCAAAAAGCCTTTGAGATTTTGCAATGAAATTTTATATCACAATTCCCTATGGCCTAAAATGACCCCTATTGATTTTGAGGTCAAAAGGTCAAGGTCAGAAATTCATACATAGCAAAAATGGTTTATGGATGATATCAAAGTTTTCTTTAAGCATTTTCAAAGAAGTTATATATCATAACTCCTAGTGACTTGAAAAGACCCCTACTTTTTTTTGGGCAAAAGGTCAAGGTCAGAAATTCAAACAGTGCAGAAAAACTTTGTTTACGGATGATAACTTTAGTTTTTCTTGAGCTTTTTCTGTGAGATTTTATAGAACTCCCAATGAAATTCTATTTGAAATTTTTTTAAATACACAGAATTTGAGGAAAGTTTACTTCATCTAATGAAATAAATAATGTTTAAATGACCTCTTATCTAGATTAATATTTTAAGGAACTGTGGTACTGCATAACTTCAATTTTTCTGCAGGCATGTGACAGAAATGCAATTCTCAGTAATGAAGTTCTCTCTAATTTTATTCTATGAGTAAGATGTCTAAAAATATGTGTTGTTTCATCCTGTATTTTTATTGGAATGGCCAATGATGATTTTTCTGCCAAAAATCCTCGGAAACACTGGTCATTCCAAGTGGAGTAGCTTTCATCATGAAGATAAGTTACACATACTGAAGAGCTGTTTTACTTCATTTTTAATTCTGATGATGGAAATGAAATTATATATAATTATTGTAAATTAAAATTGTTGCTATTTAGGAAAACTTGTGAGTAAAGACTCAAAAGAGTACAAACAGTTACTGAATGAAACCTCAGCTCTCTCTGACAACATCAAAGAGAAAGGTAAGACCAGAATTGTTAAAATCGTACAGATACACAGAGTTTATATTTTTTATTAAACACAATATATCTCATAGTATCATGATAAAAAGTTCAGCCACCTTTTGTGTTCCCATGCCTCTTTTCTACTTTTATTTATACTAATATGGCCAACTGACCCATTTGGTTTGGAGAATTTTGAATTTAATAAAGAACAAAGAATTTCTATTTCTATTCTAAAAATGATTAGGGAGGGGTTACATTGCATTTTTTAAAAAAAAAAACAAATAATGAGCATAATATAGATTGTTCACATAGAAGTTTATTTTACAGTGGAAAATACAAGCATAGTAGAATACAGTCCAAATCTTGGGGAGGCAATCAAAAAGATTGTAGTACCAGCAGGTCAGAATGTTTAATATCATACCAAATTGTTATTTGTACAGGTATTTTTAATATGCTCTGTTGCTCTTTGACTTTCATGGAATTGTTTGGGATTTAATTCTTTTCATAGTATTTGTTTTTATGAACATTTTAAAAATCAAATATATTGGAGCTACAATTGTAATTACCCGGTATATTGAAATACATGACAAAAATCCGTTCTGTAGGTATTTGTTGATGAAACAATTTTAGATGCTCAATAGAAATTTAATTCTAACCATATTAATTACAAGAGGATTTTGTCCCAGATTTTACACTAGTATATTATAATGATGTTGCAGAAAATCCATTGTCCCATTTAATACCACCAAGATGGGAGGCTGACGAAGGCCAAGGGGATAAGGCCCAGTATGCGCCAGTTTTGTATAGCAATAAAAATCACCCTGACCTCAAGGAAAAAGTCCCACGTAAGTCAGAATTTCCTGTAGATTGTAGTGTAATTGATGCTCACAATGCACTTGTCTTGTAAAGCAATAAAAATCACCCTGACCTCAAGGAAAAAGTCCCATGTAAGTCTGAATTTCCTGTAACTTGTGGTGTAATTGATGGCCACAATGTGCCAATCTTGTAAGGCAATAAAAATCACCCTGACCTCAAGGAAAAAGTCCCACGTAAGTCTGAATTTCCTGTAACTTGTGGTGTAATTGATGGCCACAATGTGCCAGTCTTGTATGGCAATAAAAATCACCCTGACCTCAAGGAAAAAGTCCCACGTAAGTCTGAATTTCCTGTAACTTGTGGTGTAATTGATGGCCACAATGTGCCAGTCTTGTATGGCAATAAAAATCACCCTGACCTCAAGGAAAAAGTCCCACGTAAGTCAGAATTTCCTGTAGCTTGTAGTGTAATTGATGGCCACAATGTGCCAGTCTTGTATGGCAATAAAAATCTCCCTGACCTTAAGGAAAAAGTCCCACATAAGTCTGAATTTCCTGTAGCTTCTAGTGTAATTAATACTCACAATGCACCTGTCTTCTATAGTAATAAAAAACCACCATGACTCAAAGGTCCCTGTGTGTCTGAATTTTTATAATTCATTTTGTATAATTGATCTAGAGGGTTTTTTTTTTATCTGTTGTTACTAGGGATGTCAATTTTGTCAATGATTCATATTCGAATATTCAATGAAAGTATTCGAATATATTCGAATATTCGATAAAATCTGTTTTATTTTAAATGTGCATCATCCTACTTTCATGAAAGGTTTAGCGTAGGTATACTTATATTGGAAGTGAAATTGTATGCAGACTTTTGTAGGTTTACAATAAAATTCCATTTGATATTTGTCAATGTTTGAAATAAATAATTGATTTAAATGTAGAAAGGTATAATTTTAACAAATGAAAAGTGTATATATAGTAGCTCCAACTGAGGAACAGTCGTCTTACCAAAGGCATGATAGTCATAACGATATACTGTTCGGATTTCAATACGTTTAATAAATTACAATTATCTGCCTAATAAGAGATATGATTATAATCTTTGATACAATTTTTTTAAAATATAATCAAATATTTCCATAGACAATTTTCCTAGGTAATTAACTAATTTCCCGATAATGAATATAAAACTCAGGATTTTGTACAACCCGAGATAATCAAGTAATTTACACATTTATTCTGAAATTGGGCCCTTTACAATATTAATTACAGACTAATAATATATCGGACATTCATTTAATGATCAATTAAATTTGTTTAGATAAGTATGTATACTCTTCACTTTTTAGACATTTGAAGATTTTCATTTTGTTGTCCTCTATTCTAGATCCGATCGTATTTAACTTATGAAAACTATGAAAGTACGTTTTGTATTATGCATAAAGCATTTTTGTACAATTCATTAACACCTTTCTCAAAACAAAATACATGTAATTTAGTAGATCTATAAGATAAGAAAGCAGTGAAAGAAATCAGGCGATCAAAATTGATCGCTAGTAAATTAAACAGGGATAATTCCAAACTTTATTAATCACAGTATTTCTTTTTATGAAATCTGAAAAACACCGAATATTGGAATCTTAATTTTATATTCGAATATCAATTCATCGAATGAATATTCGAATGTTCGAATATTCGTTGCCATCTCTAGTTGTTACAAATTTGATCACAATCTTTAAAGAAAACGATGGCATCTATCTGACTTATAATACTTATTTATATGATTAACAGAGCCCAAAATTCATATAAGGTTAATTTTGTGGTATTTATTACTTTGAACAGAATGGCACTTACGGGCTCCAATGATAGCAAAAATATGGAGAGAGTTACCAGAAAACACTAGAGAGGCCTATAAGGTATCATATCCTGATGAATTTCTGAAATCTGCTGTTGTTTCTTCAATATGAGCATATTTATATCAATGTAAGTCAGTTAAGATGTTTCAATTTTTTTTTCCTTTTCAGGCTCTAAGCAAGCAGAACAAATTACAGAAAGAGGTACTGAATGGCAATTTTATTTCTTACAATATTAAGGATGGATGTGACCCTTTGCTATCTTTTTAGTCATTAGCATCAGCCATTTGTAAACTTTTGAACATTTTGATCTTCTCTGGAAAAATAGAACCAATTTCAACCAATTTTGATTTATTGCATCTATGGGTAAAAGGGAACAAAAATTATGAATTTCAGGGTGTTCATATCCCTTTGACATGAGGAGTGTGGGCCAAAAACAATTCAATCTTTAATAATCTTCTTTACTCCTGAACATCAAAACATCAAACTGTTTGCATACTTATTACATTGTATAAGCAGTGAGCCTTTGACCAGAATTAAGAATTTTATGCCCTTGGATTCAGGTTTCAGACTAAATTCTTCATATTTGAAAATGCTTTGTATCTTACTCATGGACATGTATCAGGCAAATTGTTTGCAAGATTATAATGAATAGCAAAATTGTGAAATTCCTAGCTTTGGTCTATGGGTAAGGCCTTAGTATGGGGTTTAGTTGGTAAGATATTGAAAATTCATTACATCTTTGAAAAAATATTCTCCTCATAGGAATTTAAAAGGCAGACTGATTCCATAATTATATTATTATTATTATTATAAACACTTGGCCCTTTAACAAAATAGTAAAATTCATGCCTTGTAGGTCCTTGGTCCAGGCCTCAGGGTTGGGCTTAGTTGGTCATATATTAAAAATACAGTAATCCTTTGAAAAAAAAAAGAAGAACTTTTTCTTTACACATGAACATCTAGCAGGCAAATTGTGTTAATGATTACTGTCAAGGCCCATGGGCCTCCTGTAAATCTAGTGGTTAAACTGAAATGATAACAATGAGTACTTAAAGGCAGAGATTTTTTACCGGGTGGTAAATTCCAGGCAAGGGAGGGGCTTATTTTGTACAGGTGTGAATGCCTTGAGGGCTAGCAGACTACCTGTGGTCGTCTGTCTCCTAATCCCTATACACAGGAAGTGACTTAATACACAGTGGAGTATCTAAGAAGTCAAACTTTACCTATGTTGGGATTTTGAGATGATTTTAAGTTAGAAATAAAAAGTTGTAAATAAAGTTTAATCTAAATAATTTTTATTAATTGTAATTGAATGTTCCATTAAAAAATATTTAATTATCAAAATATTTGTTGAGCTTTGAAAAAAAAGTTATACCAAATTTTGATATATATTATCATAAAGAATATCATAATTATTTTAAATACTAAAGGTGTGTATAAATATTATCAAGCTAAATATTCCATAGTAATACAGCTTCTCTGAATTGTTTATACCATGTGTGGTAAATATCAAAGGATCAAATGTTAATTTGAAGGTCACCACGAGTGCCAAACAATGTGTACAGGGTATACACAGGGACTAGTAAGTAAATGTCAATCAAGTTCTAGCACCCAATGATGTACCTTAATGCACTTGATTGACAGGGGTACACAGACCAGGTATTTTGGAAGGCGGTGCTTAAAATCTCTGCCTTTCACTCTTTGACCAAATTTCAAAATTCATTTCTCCTGTTTCCAGCGTTCAGACTCTTGGGTGGGACTAAATTTATCTTTCACTTTGAAAATCTATTACTCATGTGTGGCGGTCAGACGGGTTTGATTGCCTGTAATTTAAATTACTCATTGCAAAACAATGAGAAGGTAAAGATTCATCTTTATTTGCAACAAGTCTGTTTTATGTACAAGGACACAAACAAAGGTTTCACTCTAGATACTCAAATATTGAAGTTCACATTAGCATATATACATGTATGCCCAGTAAGAAAGATAAAATGAGATAGCTAAATCCAACCTTAACTTGTTTTCAGTGGTCAAATCAAACCCTCTTTATTAATATCTTTTTAAAAGGAATATCAGAAGAAGATGTTGGAGGAAGAATTAAAGAAACATTCCACAAAGAAATCTCGCCAGAGTCGCAGTGATACAGCATACCGTGCAAGTGTTCCATTACAAAACAGAACAGCAGTTCGGCAGTCACAGCGCCTCATGTCGAGATCCAGCAGCTCTACCACTGTAACAGGTATGTGCTCTGTATATTTGAGTCACAACAATATTTATTATGTATACTTTGCAAGCACATAATTTTTATTTCAAATAGAGATTCACGATTTTTATTTTTAAAATAAGCAAAAAATTTTAAATTATTACTAGACTTGCATATATATACCATTGTAGGTTAGTAGGTGCTATACTAATGTACATGTTTTATTAAGCAGAAACATTTCCACTACTGTAATGTCTAACTATTATTTGTTATACTGAAGAACTGAAGAACAAAAGGAGCTAATATTTATTTACAAATAAAATAAGCTCATACGTTACCGTATATACTCGCATGTAAGTCGCTCCGCCTATAAGTCGGTTGTACTTTTTAAGCTTATATTAGAGGGCTTGACCCTCTAAAATTGCACTCTTCTTGTAACTCGACTATAAATCGGACAAAGAATTTAGAATCAAAGTTTAACTCCCAAAAAACTGACTTATAGGCGAGTATATACGGTACTTTATATTTTAGTTAATGACATAATTGTATATATATTGTATACCAGGTATAATAGTTAAGATATACTGATGGATGTTGAGTAGTAAAGATGTATTTTTTCAATTGATTATAAAGATATTATGATTCTGTTACTGAGAATTTGAGAGAAATATAGAATTGACAAATGTATCAAGCTTGCAAACATAATTCAAGTATTTTTGTATTTTACTTTTGCTAATGTAAAAGACGATTCACCAGAAAGAAGTTCAAGTCCTAACAGTGGAAGCATTTATGGTATTTATTATTTACTTTCTCCAGGCACCATTTGTTGTGCTAGATCAGATCAGAAATAGCTACACTGATCATTACTGAGCAAAGACATCAGATCAGTAATAGAGCTATACACTGTACTGATCATTACTGAGCAAATCTTTCAGATCAGTAATAGCTATACTGATCATTACTGAGCAAAGTCATCAGATCAGTAATAGAGCTATACTGATCATTACTGAGCAAAGACATCAGATCAGTAATAGAGCTATACTGATCATTACTGAGCAAAGACATCAGATCAGTAATAGAGCTATACTGATCTTTACTGAGCAAATCTTTCAGATCAGTAATGGCTATACTGATCATTACTGAGCAAAGTCATCAGATCAGTAAAGAATTATATATGATGTCTTGAGGCAATTCTTTCAGTATTTGTTTCTTATGTCACTTTTAGAGTGTTTGATGAGAATGACGGAAACTAAAACTTCATTCATGTTTACTAGCAAATCTTCTCAAATATTTATTCCATAACTGTGATTTATATGAAACTTTGTTTTATTACAAAATACTTCAGTGTTTTGATTAATTTTATTACAGGTAGGAAATCCAAGTATGAAGCAAAATCTAAGATGCTGAACATGAACTCAGAACGCGACAAAGCGTTCATGGCAGAGGCCAATCTTCCAGTGCCCAAAGGTATATATCCCCTCAGACCAGTGTTTCTATGTAATGGTTTTATTAGTTACTCTGGAACTGACCGTTAACCTGTTTGTTTTTCAGAGGAAACAAGTCCACTAGACAGGCTACCAGGTTCACACTACTCTATTTCCATGCAGATGATGGCTTTTAAAACCAAACAGGAAATGGCTACCTTAGCAAAACTAATACCTCTGGAAAAAGGTTGGCTTTTTTAATATAATATGTAAATGTTTTCTGGCCAAGAGTGTATAATAATGAAGTTATAAGCTATAAATTTATGTACCTATACATGTTTTTCTATTGGAACTTTCTTACTTAATTGAAGTGAAAAAGCACTGTCTTTAATACAGTTAAACATGGTTAAAATGAACATGCTAATAACGAATTCATGCTTATGCCAAAGTGATTTTCATTCCATATGGTTTTAAAACATATCAGGAACTTAACAGATATAAAGGTTGCCCGATGGGGCAGTGGTAGAGTGTCTGCTTTAGAGTCATGGAGTAAGGAGTTGATCCTTACATCACGGATTCGAATCCCACTACGGGACGTGAAGACTGGTCCTTCGGATGAGACCATATAAACCGAGGTCCAGTCTCAAAGTAGGAACAGGCACGAAAAAGATCCCTCACTGCTCAATGGCCCTGAGTGCCGAGTATAGGTCAAAATTTGCTGCTCTCCACTGGCAAGTGGTGGCGTCTCCATATGAGTGAAAAATTCTCGAGAGGAATGTTAAACAACAAACAAACAAACAAACAGAATAAAGAATAACACTTATAGCAAATAAAATTGGTTGTCCCTGGCACTTTGCAATAAGCATGTTTTGCTGTATGCAAAGCATAATTTTTGCATTTTGAAAATTTGAAATGAGAAATTATCTCCATATTAAGGAGACTTTTATACGTAAAATATAAACCCATTTTTTTGTTTGCTTATTTTTTTTTTTTTTTTTACCATTTACATCATCGGAAAATAACTACAGTAAAACTTAGTACAAACAAAGATATAGCAAATTTATAGATATAGCTTATATTTTTTGGCAAAATTCTTAACAATTCCTCGTAAAATTTTACCATTATAATGAACTCTGTTGTAACAAATTTACAGATAAAGCGATTTGATTAGTGTCCCTTAAGGCTTAAAAAGAGTGAAATTTACATCTTTTGTAAAAAAATTTAGATCAGAAAATTACAATGTTGAATTGACATATTTTTGTAAGTATGTATATTTGAAATTTATCAGAAAACTTGTGTTTTCCAATTTAAGTTTTGAGTTTATACTTCCCTGAAGAATTTGGTTTTTACATGTATTTATATGGAATTTACTATATAAAGTTCAACAAATTCATTATGCAGATAAAATGCATATAAATTACAGATATAGCAAAGTAATTTCACAGGTCCCCAGGACCACTTTAACTAATTCTACTGTAGGGTGAATTAAAAAAAAAAAAAGATCAAACGCATAATTATCAACCCACACTAAAAATACCGGCAATGAAAATAGATTTCTATTTATCAACATATGTCTTTAGATAGTGTCTAAATACCTGCCAAATATCGCATTAATATCTCAATTAACAAAAAAGTTATGCCCAAAAATGATGCCAAAATTGTCAGAAGTGCAACACCTTTTTGTGACATTTTGAAATTTCAATATTTTTGAGAGATCTGTGAAATAAATAATAATGCTTTATGTTGAAAATAAAGACTTTTCTGATAATATTCAAAGTATTGAGCTTTAAATGTGGATTGTAGTAACTTTTGTTTAATCAAGTTGTGGTCATGGCTGATGTTTTAAAAAAATGTTAAACAATGTCATCAGTGCATCAGAAAAAATGTAGTGCTGCCAAAAAAACATCAATTGTAAAATTCTGAAAGAAAATTAAGACAAAAAAGAATTTTCGAAGTGTAAAACAATAACTGATATACATTTAAAAACTTAAAACTGTTATATAAATCACAAGCAGCATAATGAGAGTCGAGTATATGTGCATACTTAATAATGTCAGGAGTGCAACATTTGATGTTTTTCACCCAAGCATGAAAAAACTATTATCATTATATGATTTTCTGATTTTCATTTTGGAAAATAAAGACACAAAGAATATTTTTACCAAATAGATTTATCAATTACAGGATCTGTCTGTGCTTCAGATCTATATTTCTATGGTCAGGAGTGCAACACATTTTTTAAAAGATTCAAGTTATATGACAAAAACACTTCTATTCATGCTTAGAAGTATTCATTAATTAATAATGATCTTTTTGTATAATTTAATACTAAATTATTGACAGCTTTATTATTAAAATCCTTTCTTTTTCAATTTTATCAATTCAGATGTGTTTTTATCTTTTTTGTGATTTTTTTGATGAACGTTAAAAACAAACACACTAAAAATTGTCATAAAATTCAAGTAATTCCTCCTCAACTTCACTGAAACAACAGAACAAGTTCTTATGTAATTTTCACTTCACAATTCTACTTTAAAGGCCCCAATGCTTTTGGTCAGGAGTGCAACAAATATGTTAGAATTATAAATCATCCACTAAGAATAAAAATAAAGAAAAAATGATGAGTAGAATTTTTCTGGTGGGTTACTGTATTGTCCTCTAAAGGAAAATATGCTTTAAAATATATTTTATCTTCTAAATATACATTTAAACCAGTTTTTTGGCACAAATGGGGAATAATTCCAGATAAAATGAGAATTTTAAATACTTTCATCTGTTTTAATTATGAAGTATTGGACTATAAATTTTGCACAATTTCATTACCACTTGATGTTGCCAACACTTTATAAATTTTTGTGTTCTGTGGTTTTAATTTTAAAATTTTACTGCAGTCAGGAGTGCAACAAAACTGCTTTATAATTACCAATGCTTTTTAACTATCTTTACTAAAAAATAAGTTGAAAAAAATGTTTGATACTATTTGATGTTAAAAAAAAACTATGTCTATCAACAAATTACAGAAATTTTACAGTCAATTCAGGGAATTCATTTCACATATATTTTTAAATACGATGTATATATATTACACTTTGCAAATAATCATGTTTTAAGGTCTTCAAAATATGAAAAACCTGCCGTAAACAATGAAAAATATCAAAACGACAAATTGATTTACAAAGTAGGAATGGGTTATTATGTGTTAAATTTTTAAAACAATGTTTAAAAAATACATATCAGATGTCAGGAGTGCAACACAATAATGTAACATAGGGTCACTTCAAAATCTAGTATTTTTTGTAAGAGAACTCGTATATAAAAATTCTTTTTTGGCTTAGATTTAAAGAATTGAATTGAATGGACAAAAAAAAAAAAAACTTTTGGGAAATTTTATTGCTTCATATTTTTTTCATATTAAAACTTTTCAAACCAGAATTGAAAAAATAATGTAAAATAACAATCAAAAAGCACATTTTTTGTCACATACACAAGAGAAGATACTCAATCAAGGTCTAGATTTAATCATTTATACCCCTTTAACCATTTTGAAGCATAAAAAGCTATAATTTCTTGTGATTATGTATTTTAGAAAGTCCTTTAATGTGTAATGATATTTTCTTTTTTCAAAAGAAATTTTACTAATAAAAATTATGAAACTTTTTAATCCAATTGTCTATTCTATTGCCACTTCAGGAATTTAAACTAGAATGCATGTGCAATATGATGATATAAGTGAAAAATATGTTATCAGTAGTTGAATTTTTCCAAAAAATTTCAGTTTGGTGGTCATTTTTTTTTTAATTCACCCTGTAGTAATATGATATTTCTTTTTTAAACTTTACGTACTGAGGAAAATAATTTAAATTTCAGTGGCAACTATTCAATGTGGTCGGTCAGGTCAATCCATTAAAGTATTGGAAGAAACGTAAGCTCATTTATCTGGTTTTTTGTTGTTGTTGAGATTTTAGTCTCAAGTTGTAAATGCATAATAATTGAATTAATTCTACCATAAAAATTTTTAAATATATATTTGCTTCTATTCAGTATTATTAAGTTTGATTATACATTGCATCTTTAAATACAGTAATTCTAGGTTAGTGAAAGAAGAAAATAGCCAAGCACTAGCCATTTATGGCACAGACAATGGAAAAGCAGTTCCAAAACTAAATGGCAGTCAAAGAAGTACCGAGAGTCCCCCTGTTCATAAGGATGTGAACTTAAACCAGAATTCTGTGTTCAATGTTCGAAAATCACAACACAACGACGAATCCGAGAAAAACTCTGTAACAGAGGAGAATGTGCTCATGTGTTCCGAGTGTGGTGAGGAATTTACATCTTCATCAGAACTGGACACGCACAAAACATTGTCACACAACCATAAACCTCCAGGGATACTGCCAAAAGAGGATACAGCATTGCCGTTTATCAAATGTGAACCTGTCGATGAAGACTATGACAAAGCTGAAAGTGTAAACAATCGAGGAGATGTAGAACCTGGCAGAAGGAAGAGGAAAGGAAAGGGGAGGTTGAAAGTGAAAGTAGGCAAAAATAGAAAAACGTCAAGTGAAGATAAGGCATCCAAAAACAATGATATCTGTGATAAGGAGGTTAGGATTAAAACGGAGGTCTTATGACGAAACTTAGCATCCATCTGCTTTTGAAACTTCTTTGAAATGTAAGAATAAAATACACAGGATTTAGTAATACAACTGAATTGAAAATGAATTTGTACTGAACTGTTAAACCATTTTCATGCATAATTTTCCATATTAAATCATTTTTTACAATCTTTTTGAATGCTTTTAGTTTTGATTCTGTAGTCGATTGGTTGGTGAAAATCGAGAAATAAAGTAGAATCCAATATCAGTACTGCTGCCTAGAATTTCTTTTCTAGATTGCATTCCACTGGTATTCTACTTCCTAACTTCCACACCTTAAAACATTTCTAAAAAGAAAAAAAAAACAGAAAGAAAATAAGCCTGAAACAAAAGTTGGGTAACTGTTTCTACTATTGATTACAGATGTTATTTAAGGACCCTCTCTACACTAGAGGAAAATATTTTTTGGACATTGAGAAAATTATAGTGTGTAAAGGTGTAAGTATTGAGTTTATCTATAGCATTTTCAGCATAGGTTGCCTTATATTTACCCCCAGGAAAAATGTTCAAAGACAATGAAGTACTGATGTGCATAAATCACTGTTGTTTACTTAAGTGGGCAAAATACCTGCAAATGAAGTGTTCTATCTATTCATCTTAGCCTATTAAAGTGTTATGAATGCTTGATTTGATCACAAATTAAGTAATGAACTGTACATTTCAATTTATTTTATTCTTGATCAAAGGGCAGATCATTCTATCTGCATAAAATACCACAAAATCTGAACTCTCTAGTGTGCAGTGTATAGAGGGCTCTTAAGGTAGTACACAACACCCATAAAAATCTGTTTTAATGCATATCTTACAGAGTACACCAGTAAAAAAAAATGATTTCACTAAAATGTCAATAATCAAGGATCTTTGTAAGAAAAATAATACGCTGTGACATGTTTTCACCATATTTTGAAGAAAAATTAGAGACATACTGTACAGTGGTCATTCGGGACCCTACATTTTGGATCGCGTTTATGCCATCTACATGCCGTATGCCTGTCTGTTATTAAATGCAAAGTAACTTTTGATCCATTAATAGTGGAGACCTGATATTGGGACATATTTATAAGGATTCTCCATTCTTTTTGAGGTCAAAGGTCAAATATAGTGACGGAATCTACTGAATCTTTACAATTTTTTGCATTTGACTTAATTAAAATCGCCAAAATATCTGAAACCGCCGGTTTAAAATTCCTCATTTTGACATAATTTAATCTGGGTTCCATTCCAATTATTCTTGATTTTTTTTTTATAAAAGTTGAATGTCACATTTACTTTAGAAAGGACTTAACGTGTTGCATATTTACATGTGAATTTTCAATTCACGGGCTATGTATGTTCTATTTTTACATCACATTTTACTCAAATATACCGGTATCCGAGTATTTTACCAAATTTTCATACAAAAAGGTTGCCTTTATAAAAAGCATCACACACGTTTGCTATAGATCAATTGGTTATTTTTAAATAATGCACAATCTCAGGTCGGCTGTCTAATTTCACAATCTTCTTACAGGGGTCTGAAGACCACATTTCAAACTATGTGAGAAAAATTTGGTCTATCTATAGTGTACTACCTTAAGCAGCAGTAAAGCAAGGCCGAAGGGGGAGAAATTCCCAAAAAAAATGGCTCCAATGGTGCATTTTCCAGCATTTTAGATTGAATGAATTAGTTTTTTTGCCACTTGCTTTTCAACACTGACCTACCCAAATTGTCAAGAATTTGAACAAAAAATTTAAAATTTGGGGATTTATTTTTAACTTCCATGTAAACATGAAAAATGAGACTTTTCTAAAAAAAAAAAAAAAAAATCAATCAATCAATGTAAAATCTGATAAAATTAGAAATATCGCCATTTGATATATAATATCCAATTTTTTATTTTAAAATGCACGTCAAATGTGTCGCAGGTGAAGCTCTAACTACCAAAACATAACTAATGTGCATATTCCCAACACTTAGAAAAATTTGGATTCTGTGTAGAAACCCTAATTACTCTTTTCAATTACTTGACTATTTTTTGTTGTTAATTAGAGTATGACCTTGTGTCATCACAAGCTGCACGGACTATCATGATCTCTGTGCTGTTGATTACTTGTGTATTGTGTGCGCTGAAGCGGAAAGGGATTTCTCGTGGTGGCTGTATATTTCACCTCTGTGTAAAACAATGGGCTTAGACAGAGTCTCACTCAAGAAAAATATTGTTGTTAAAATGACACTTGTAAAATTTGTTTTTTTTTTAGGTCACCTGAGTCACTCAGGTGACCTATTGCTATCCGTTTTTGTCCGTCGGCGTGCGTCGTGCGACGTGCGTCGTGCGTTAACATTTGAACATTTTTAGCTTCTTCTCTGAAACCGCTCAACCAATTTCAACTAAATTTGGCATATAGCATCTATGGGTGAAGGGGAACAAAAATTGTGAATTTCATGGTCCCTGCCCCCCTGGGGCCTGAGGGGTGGGGCTAAAACCACCAAAATTAATGCAATCTTTAAAAATCTTCTTCTTTACTCCTGGACATCAAGCAGTCAAACTGTTGGCATCATTGTGATAAGCATTGAGTCCTCTACCAAAATTGTGAAATTCATGGCCCCAGGGTCAGGGGTTCTGGTGCTAGGACGGGGCTATATAGATCATATAGTGAAAGTGCATTATTTCTTTGAAAATCTTCTTCTCTGCTCCTGGGTATTAAATAAACTAACTAAGTATATAGTTATGATGAGTAAGAGTGACTCTTCCAAAATTGTGAAATTCATGGCCCCAGGGGCAGGGGTTCTGGTGTTAGGGTGGGGCTCTATTGATTATATAGTGAAAATGCATTAGTTCTTTGGAAATCTTCTTCTCTGCTCCTGGGTATTAAATAAACTAAGTATATAGTAATGATGAGTAAGAGTACCTCTACCAAAATTGTGAAATTCATGGCCCCAGGGGCAGGGGTTCTGGTGTTAGGGTGGGGCTCTATTGATCATATAGTGAAAATGCATTAATTCATTGAAAATCTTCTTCTCTGCTCCTGGGTATTAAATAAACTAACTAAGTATATAGTTATAATGAGTAAGAGTGCCTCTTTCGAAATTGTGAAATTCATGACCCCAGGGTCAGGGGTTCTGTTGTTAGGGCGGGGCTCTATTGATTATATAGTGAAAATGCATTAATTCATTGAAAATCTTCTTCTCTGCTCCTGGGTATTAAATAAAGTAACTAAGTACATAGTTAGGATGAGCAAGAGTGCCTCTTCCAAAATTGTGAAATTCATGGCCCTTGGGTCAGGGGTTCTGGTGTTAGGGCGGGGCTCTATTGATTATATAGTGACAATGCATTAATCCTTTGAAAATCTTCTTCTCTGCTCCTGGGTATTAAATTCAGTAAAGTACATAGTTATGATGAGCAAGAGTGCCTCTTTCAAAATTGTGAATTTTATGGCCCCTGGGTCAGGGGTTCTGGTGTTAGGGTGGGGCTCTATTGATTATATAGTGAAAATGCATTAATCCTTTGAAAATCTTCTTCTCTACTCCTGGGTATTATTGAAACATATTAAATACATAGTTATGATAAGCAAGGGTGACTCTACCAAAATTGTGAAATTCATGGCCCCAGGGTCAAGAGTTCTGGTGCTAGGGCTGGGCTATATAAATCATATAGTGAAAATGCATTAATGCTTTAAAAATCTTCTCTACTCCTGGGTATTATTTAAGCAAATTAAATACATAGTTATGATAAGCAAGGATGCCTCTTCCAAAATTGTGAATTTCATGGACCCTGGATCAGGGGTTCTGGTGTTAGGGTGGGGCTCTATTTATTATTTAGTGAAAATGCATTAATGCTTTAAAAATCTTCTCTACTCCTGGGTATCATTTAAACAAATTAAGTACATTGTTATGATAAGCAAGGATGCTTCTTCCAAATTATGAAATTCATGGCCCCAGGTACAGGAGTTCTGGTGCTAGGGCGGGGCCATATATATCCTATAGTGAAGGTGAATTATTTCTTTAAAAATCTTCTTCTCTGCGCCTGGGTATTATTTAAATAAACTATTAGTACATTGTTATGATACGCAAGTATGCCCCTTCCAAAATTGTGAATTTCATGGCCAGAGGGTCAAGGGTTCTGGTGAAAAGGGGGAGGGGGAGGGGCTCTATTGATTATATAGTGAAAAAGCAAAATTTCTCTAAAAATATTCTTTTCTGCTTCTGGTTAAAAAGCAAAGAAGCTAAGTGTATAGTTATGATGAGCATGATTACTTCTTCCAGAGTAGTGAATTGCATGACCCCTGGGTCAGATGTGCTGGTGTAAGGGTGGGGCTCTTGATAATGTAGTGAAAATGCATTAATTCTGTTAAATAATCCTGTCTGCTCCTTAGTGTTAATCAGATAAACAAAGTGATTACTTACATGTATGATGAATAAACTTCTGGTCCCAGGGTGAGAGACTCTGATGTTTCTCGGTGGGGATGGGAGGTTGGGGGGGGGGGGACTGGGGGGCTCTATTGATAATGTAGTGAATCTGTAGTAAAAACTGCATTATTTCTTTGAAAATCTTCTCTGCACCTGGGCATATCAGAGGCAAAAAGAGTAAAAGTTTTAATAAATATTTTTGAACATCTGGGCCATTTTGTCAAGTGTTCTGGTCCTGGCCAGGGCTCTTTTAATTTGTATTCTACTGAGGGGAGTTATTCCCCTTTGCCATTTACTTTTGATAATTAGTCACTGTAAATAATGTACTTGAAAGGTTAATAGAATAAGAGAATTTTGCAAGATTTTTTATTGTATAATACAAAAAGTACTTTCATAGTTTTAATGATCAGATAGACTTGTAAGTAATAGATAAATAAAAATGAGACAAAAATAACTTGTCTTATTCAATGTTCATCAAAGACCAAGAGAGTCCAATGTAAGAGATTTCAACAAGGAATTAAAATAGTACAGAAGCATTGATAGTTTGTTAATATACTGTATAGTGATAAATGGGGAACAGATTAGAACCTAATTTATGAACTGTTAATGAACACTAGACTAATTATTTTGTTGAACCTGATCACCCTATTTTTCTTGCTTTTGGGCAACAAAGCTTCACTTTTCAGTTCATTTTATACTCTATGGATTCTCTAAATTGTTGTAT